GTGTCAATAGTAATCAGTGTTATGACAGCTGCCAGGAAATAAGGAAACCGTCGAAAGTTAGTTATTTACCCACGCATAAACTGGTGATGGATACAAATGTGCGAATTCAAAATATCATTATGAATTCAAGTTGGGTGTGTAGGACTGCACACTCAATCAAATGGGTCATTTTTAGAACGGATGGAGGATTTATCCATTGTAGCCCAAAAAGGGGTGTAAATGATCAAACAGTCAACCTTCTGTTTAGAAAATATAACCTCATGTGACACCTCAGGTCTGTCCTGGAGACTAAATTAGTTATAACACCAAGGCGGAATATGATTTGCCAACACACAGAAGGGCTATGGGGCTACTGGCATGGTCGGGGGCCATGCCGCCCAATGGAAGTACAATCGCAGGTCAAAGAGGTAAAGGAACAACCCTAGTGTTACACAGCCCCCTCCCCTTTAGATCATCGGCCTAGGAAATCACCTTGGCCAACCTCCTGCAAAACACCCACGGGTCACCCGCGCCAGTCATCTAAATTGCGTGCAACTGAGATGATATCTTGATGCAACGTCGCTGATCCCTCTTGGTAACTCCAAATGAACTGGAGTTGTAGCCGGTTTGGGAAATTTATTGAGAGGACCAGGGAATGTGGTAGCCATCACCTACGTCTGCTGCCAGCCACAGGAGCATTGGCCTAAAAGCATGGCTACTTGATAGACACAATGTGAAGTGATTTCGTTGAAATGAGGTTTCGCTTTTGTGCCTCCATGTCACTTTTTTTCACTTTAGTGCTCTCTTGCCATATCTATCTGGGTTCCGTCCAGCTAGTAGAGAGGTGGACAAGGAGGTGCAGGTAGTTCACCCAATTGTCACCTTCATGAAGGTACCGTAGACAGTCCCGAAGGTGCATTTTTCAGATGGTTCTCGGTTAGCTGCGCTTCATTTTTAGCAGCCTTGCTGCAGAACAAGGGACTAGGGCGGTCGCCGATGTTAAAGAAAGACGGCATTTTCAGTCCCTTCCACAGCATATACCCTTCTTCCGTCAAGTCAAAGTTTCGGGTTCAGTAATAGAAATCAGGGTAGCTGTCCCTTACGAACGGGTTCAATTTCTGCTGCCATCAGCATAGCGCGGTGACTCTTTCCTAAAGATTAAAGAAGTCATAATAGCAGGAGTGGGAAGCAATCCCGCTCGGCGGAAGTCCAATGGCAGAGCCTTAATTGCAAGCAAAATCAAAACGCAGAATTAAACACATCATCAAAGTGTTACAGACCCATAGCTTGATACAACTGTCATTATTTTCAGTTATTTAATAAGGTATTTCAAAATATCTTTTCGCAAGTTATTAAGCCACCTTATTCATTGAGGATCTATCATTTCTACAAATTTACAAATTGTTTAAAAACCAAGCGCTCCACTTGTGCATTCAAACCATCATTTAATGGACGTGATAGGTGGTATTATTGCCACTTTGCAGCTCACACCAACATTTTACAGAGGCATAAAAATGCAATCACCACAGTTATTTTGACTCGTAAAGCCACTTGTAAAAGCTACCACCGTAAGTGTACTGTTTCTGTACAAATTACAAACGTCTGCATTGCACAAAAAGGCCGTCAAGGCAGTATTTTTTCAATCCGCATGCTCTCCTTTGGGTTTTTACAGCTCTTTGAGACTTTCCCGAAGACGTATGAAGTCATGATACTCGGACAGACTGTGTACTGTCGACATGCAGGATAGCTGGGAAGGGGGCTACTTGCCTGGCCTAAAGGCCAGTCCGCACGGCCGAGAGAGAATGGCAGAGCCCCTCACCAGCATACAATCCAACATGCCCCTCCATTTACACCAGACGGCGCATACTGGACTTGGATCCTTCAAAAATTGGGCAGGTGGCCGATCTTTACAGCTACTGCATTTTAAAGCAAGCAAATTCGGGGATGTCTCAAGAGGGCATTGAATTACCTTCAAAATTATGCCTAAATGTTGCTGACAGGTAGGCAGGTCTGAAGTACTCGGTGGGTCCTCCTTGTGGATCCTGAGTCGAACAAGTGGTACATGAGTTTCTCGGGGAGGGCAGTTAGACTTAGGATGAAAAAGTACCCATTAATCTAGTACGCCAACACAGAAAAAAAGGGGATCATACCTCTGGTAGATGAGCGGTTAAATAGGCATGACATAAAGAAAAATGAGTTGTGGCGGGTTATTAGAGAAAATAAGCCAGCTAAATGAATTTACTTAGTTTTATAAAATAAAACTTCACTAACAATATGGAGCTTTGCTAATTGGTTTATTCCTCAGCCAACCAAATACATTTCTGCTGTTAATTTCACTTTTACAAAAGACCCCTCCCTCAGGAAGCAAAAGTCCCAACTCTAGTCAACCTGGCTTAAATCTCACCTCAATCTCTACCTATCTCATCATTTGAAGAGGGGTCGTCAGGTAAATACCTTGGATAAGGCAGCGCACCTTTCCATCAGTCCATCCCTTCCCCAAGTGTAATTCTTCAGATGGATCGGTCTTGCGACGGGATGAGATGTTGTGTTGACTTTAAAGGGCAAAACTTCCTTACTCTCCACCGATTCGCTAGGTCAGGCTGTTGTGAACAATTGAGTGGGCACAGCACAACACGTGCACGTACAACGTTCTGCCGATGGGGTGATGCGTGTCCTGGAAGTGTGGGTTTAATAGTGAGTGGGTTGTTTGATGATCTCCACTGATCAGTTCATTCACCTACCGATCGTTGGGATGTCACAGCACTTAAGCCTCTTCTCATCTGAAGTTAGTTGGTTGGCCAGGAAACAATCGAAATGCACGTATGGATTATAATAAAAGGAGAGAGGAGTAACAAGGCTCTCCCACTTTGTCGATTAAGCCATCGATCCAGCTTATCACCTACCTGTTGATAAATGTGGATGGAGCTGGTTCGCTTAGCTTTCACAATTACTTCTTCCTTCCCTCCTCCGATTGTTCTATCACCACTCACGCCAAAAATGATGTGAAGCTGTCCCTGACACATTTCTCTCACAATCATGAAGAGGGGACCATCCTGAATGCGATGCAAACACATTTGAGTAATTCATCACCAGGATCAAACCGTTCGAATCACTTTATTTTGAGTGGCACGCTTCATTGGCATGTTTTCCCCAAGGGCTGTGCGACAAACCTGATGGGAGCCTCCTGCATCTTGAAGTTTGGTTTACAAAGCAGAAAGCGTCAAATCACATGCACTAGGTTCAATCAACATCTTATAAAGTGAGGACACAAAATGAGGGAAAAGTAGTAGAACACACAACAAGGAATACCGTATCGAGAGGCCGATGCAAATCTATGCCCCACGATGCACGTATCCAGGTCATCGGTAGTTCTGAAGTAAAGGTAGCGTCGTCTTCCACGTCATAACGGTGTCATGGTGGCACGCAACTGCAGATCATCTCGCCACAAGAAGTATTTTCCCAGCGGATGAATCACTCAGAACTGTGATATTCCCAGTTCAAAAAATTAATACACTTTGATTTTTTTCATATCGCCCTATAATGCTTGATTGTACAAAACCATAAAAATCTACGCAGCCACCCTATGCTCCTCAGAAATTTCAATACCACATTAGGAAATGCGTTATCCAACCCAATGTTATAACATTCTATTCTGACACTCAAATGATTAAATGGAATGATCACACTATGGATGGAGATGAATTCCACGCTGGAGCGACCATGTTGATTCCCCTCATTGCAAGACAGGAGATGAGTGTTTATTTACAATCATTGGGTACAAGCACGCAGAGATCTTCTGCAATGCTTAAAACTGGGACTGTAAACCGTGATTCAAACAAAAAGGTGGACGGCGATTCCAACACACTCCCTTTTTGTGCAAACTGCACCAACAAGTGAATCACCGAGTGAAGTGTGCGCGTGGTACACGTATATATATCCGCCCACCTCTGCACACTATGTATGGATTGCCTCCACGATAGAAATGAACTCCCAAAGCAGAAACCACCCCTGCTGCCAGTAAGAAAAAGACCTCTGTTCCACAAAACTGGTAGTTCCTCCAAAGCAGGAGTTGCAATGCATCAGGCCCGTTTTTGTCATGTTTTGATTTACTGCAGCTGTCAACAGTGATCAACGCTCATGTGGTGAAAAACGTCCATCTTCCTTCTTATGCTGTGTCATTGCTGCACATGATGGACGGCACGGACAATTGGGAAAAAATTCAGCTAACGGGTTATCAGAAATAGGCAGCAGTAGCTGTCATTTCCAACAAAAAAGGGGGATTTGGCACAATGAAGGGCAAATTTTAAGTCGATTTGAGAAATCTACTGTACTAGTAAACAAACTCCGCGCCTAAAATACATAAATATGCCAAGGTGTGGAACAAACGACCCCAGATCCGAATATGGCCCAAATTCCACAAACTAATCCCATCTCAAACAGATGAATTATCACTTATTCACACAGAAATGCAAGGGAATTGGGGCAAAGCTAGGCCCGACTCCTCCATCTGAAATCTAGGAGCATCAATGAAAGTGGCCAACCTCGCAGGTGCTACTTAAATTACAACAGTAGCAAAACTGCGACAACAGTCCTAATTTAGCACTGGATAATAGGTAGGCAATTCTGAATTTCAGACGCAACAAACTACCAAAAATCTACATAGGAACAAAAAGTCTAGCAATAGGGGCAAAAGTCAACATGGAAATTCAAATGAAGAAAGTGTGAAAACGCCAACAGAGTAGAGACACACACCAACTCAGGAGTACAAACACTTAGAAAATGGCTAAATACCGCAGCAAAATCAGCATAGCGCAACTGACTTCCTATTTGAAAAAAGATACGCTCACAGAGGGATGCCAAGAAAACCAGAGTCCCAGGTACATGCATCATGGAAAAGAGCAACAGTCAGCATCAACTAACTAGGCGCAAGGAGACATATCTGCAAAACATCGAGTTTGAAATTCACCACTTCATTCCAAAAAGGAAGAAATCTGACAAAAAAACCTTTATAGCACACTTATTTAGGCCATGAGAGCAAACTGCCTCGTGGGGTATGACCGCATCTTGCGGAGCATCTTTTCGGAGTGAATGGAGCGCTCGCTCTTCTTGAGACGACGTCGGATAGCGCGGGTTTTCTTCGGGCGCAAATCCTTGGGAACGTAGCGCTTCTTACGGTAGGCCTCCCGCTGACGAAGCTTGGCAGCCTGGTTCATGACAGTGTAGATGCGGGCAATAGACTTGCGAAGCACGCGACTGTAAGATTTAAGTAAGATTAGCTCCAAAAAAAAAACAATAATGTCGAAGAAAGGGGTGACTCACATCTTCCTAAGTTTGGAGGCAGCACCGCGAGTAATTCTAAAGAGACGCTGATTGGCAAGCTCAGTTTTCAACTCCCCAAGCTGTTTTAGCAATTCAGCCTCGGGCTTTGTACGTAAGTCAGAGGCACGTACGTTAGACTAGAAACATGAAACAGGATGAAGACGAATGTCAGTTTAAATTCATGTTAGCATGAATAGATGTAAAGATAAGGAATGGTTGGGAATTGTTGCGAATGGCCAAAGACGTAATATGAAACAGACAAAGCACGGACTAAACGCTGGGAATAAAACAAAGGCGATCTAGAAAAAAACCCCGACAAAAACACACCATGCCGGCGGCAGTATTTCAAAAGCACTGGACCAACTTCCCAGCGCATTAAAACGGACGTCTGCATGATAAGCAATCAATTTGGTACAGGACCATTTTAAAACAAATTACAGTAGGAATATTTGTATATACTTATGGTTTTTGTGAAAACCCATATGCACCGGTAAATACAAGGTATTCGCAAAATATTAATTTGGTACATCAGATTTATCCATTAATTACATGGTGCTCTTAGCAGAGCAAATGGGTATCCCTACTTAAAATTTGAGTGTAAAAATGAGTTATTTATTGCTTGTTAAAGTCCCTATAGAGAGGTGTGTAGACAAGAATAGCTGCTTTAGAAAGGCCTGTGGTTGAAATGGTTGTAATCGAGGAGGGGAATGTAGAGGCCAAGGACTTTTATAAAATTAAAAAAAGACAGTGCTTGGACCGATTATACCTGTTCATCATACAAGGGATTTGAGCTACTGACATGGCGCAGAGGCCAGCCCATCCAGCTGATTTACAATGACCAAGACACAACATGGCCCCATACTAAGACTGGGAATCGAACAGATTTCCTTCATGGGCCCTTAAACCTTGTTTTAATTCGAAAATCAATCATAACCCTAAAATGGTATTGTTAATTTGATTTGCTAAAAAGAAGACTTGACCGCCACTTTAGCGATCCTGTATTTGTTAAAGACATTGTGGTCATGCAGAATCTTCGGCATTTACCAATTTTTACTCCTCCGTAAGTTGAGGCCTAGGTTATGCATTCGATTTTTCGCATCTTTTGCTTCTGCCGCAGAACTATCAAGTTTCAATGATGATTTCCTTTTACGTAGATGTGACATATTCCTTACCTAATCGCTTTTAAGACCAGGTATTGCGTTTGGATTTTGTTTTTAGATCTCTCTTGTCATCCTTACCTTTTTTACGCTAGTCTTGTGTCGGAGTATTTTTGTTATTTCCCAATGGGGTTGCATGTTATCTTTTCCAAATCAGGGTACAAGTCCGCAATATGGCGACGTTGAAGGACGTTGCGATGCAACTGAAATCCATTACTAGCATCCAGAAGATTACGTCTTCCATGAAAATGGTTGCTTCAGCCAAGTTTGCCAAGGCCGAGCGCGAGTTGAGGTTGGCTGTTCCCTACGGTACTAGTGCTGCTGCCTTTTACGAGAAAACGGGCATTGTGGCGCAGCAGAAAGAGGACCACCCGCCCGTTAAAAATCACCTTGTGATTGCGATCACTTCCGATCGTGGTCTTTGTGGAGCTGTCAACAGCACTATTGGAAAGGTAGTGTCGCTCTCCTTTTGATTTTCTTAATTTCTCTCAAAAAGTAGACGAAATTGAAGTTTTTGCCCTTCAGCTTTTACGTGAAATGCTCTCGCACCCTCCCGCCGGTGAAGATATAAAACTGGTTCTTATCGGTGACAAAGCTCGTGCCTTCCTCACCCGTCAGTTTTCGGAGCACTTCCTCATGTCCTTCACTGAGGTCGGGAAGAGGCCTCCAACTTTTGAAGATGCCTCGCTGATCACACAAGCTCTGCTCGACTGCGATTTCAAGTTTGACAAAGCTACGTTATTTTACAACAAGTTTAAGTCGGTAGTTTCCTACACCCCCATCGATCAACCCATCTTTAACCTCGAGCAACTGCAACATGCTCCATCGCTTGCGCTCTACGATTCCGTGGATGATGAGGCGCTTCGTAGCTACAACGAATTTCTCCTTTCGTCCTTCATCTTCTACGCTTTGAAAGAGGCCGCTGCGAGTGAGCACTCGTCCAGAATGACTGCCATGCAATCGGCTACAAAGAATGCCAGTGAAATGATCGATGAGTTGACCCTTGCCTTGAACAGGACTCGTCAGGCTGTCATCACGAAGGAGCTGATCGAAATTATCTCCGGTGCCGCCGCTGTCTAGTAACTTTATCTCTTTCACCCAAGTCTGTATTGACATCCTCTCTCATTGTGAGGCGTCCGTGGGTTTTATCTATTTTGTGAAGTGAGTAGCACTAAAATCAGGTTAGTAAGCACTCTGTGTTCTCATTTGTACGTGCACCTTGGGTCACGTTGTTTGATCAGTTGTATTTTATCGTGTCCCCAGTGAGGAACGCCTTAATGAATCCGCTTAATCGGCTGAATTAGTGAAAACAGTCTCACTACGCTCTTCATACCACTACTAGTAATTTATCCTAGATGTGATACGACTGCCACCGGGGTTTTCACGTAGGTTGAAGTATTTCTTGCATCCTGCAAGCAGGGGCCGAACACCAGTGATTGTCAGGTGGGTATGATGGGTCAGTGGCAGTTTTTAAGTCAAACGTCGGTCCATGGTCCGTAAAGTGATGGAACCAATGGAGTGTATCAAATAGTCTTGGATTACCAAATGCACCATTGGCATTCTCTCTGGTACGTCATTCCGACGCCTTATCGTTATGCTCCAGATGTAAATTGAATTATGCCGATCACATAGTAGTTACTTATTTCTTCCACTAATCTTTACATTCATAAATTACGTTTAAGATAGTTGTACTACCTACAAAAAAATCAAGTTACATGAAGATAGGAGAAGAAAAAAGGGGAGGGTTCGCGTGTGATTGGTTAATTGGGGAAAAAGATCATCGTTCACCAAGCATTTCGATGTACGTCGTCGATACAGATTCCAGTAAGTCCTAGTTCGGCAGCACGACGCTTGAAAGTTGGCGTAGAGACGCAGGCACCAAAGGGGATGCAGGCAAGACGGAAGGCGGCCATGCGATGAGCGAGCCCGGCGCCCTCCGCCGTTGCCGTTTCGAAAGGCTTGCCGGGAATCACTACCCCGTCCATTCCGATCAAGTGCGCCCATTCAACTACAGCCGCTGCGTTGCGATGCCTTGGATCTAGTAAATGCGGTGGTGGTGGCAGTCGCGTGGACGAGTGCGATGGAGGTATTGCTTTGGTGTAGACCGATAACGGCTGCTCGCAGCCCGCACGAGAGATGAAGAGCACCGGGAAGGTGGTCTGTTTGAGACGGAGAGCGAGGCAGAGGTCGGCATTGAATGTACTCAACACAATCTCCCTCCCGTTGCCCTGGGTCTGTAGGCTCTGTTGAACAAATGCACACCAGCACGAGTCAATCACTGGGAGGAGTTAGTGAGCAGGTGTTGAAATGGGGTACCAGGTTATGCTAGGGTAACTAGGAGCACATCTAATGCCGACATGCCTTCTGATGCATTTGTATAAACAATGGCGTACATTTTACAACCCCTTCAAGTTACAACCGTCTTTTGCAATGACTTCTATCAAAAGTCACTAGCTATATTTTCTTACCCGAATGACATTATCGGCGAATTGGTTGATGGAGTAGAAGTATCTGCTAGGGTGTCCAAACTCATCCAGGGCCTGCCTGTCCACGCCCATCTCATGGACTAGTTTGAAAGCCATGTTTGGCGTATCCTGGGGGTACTTTAGCTCCACATCTAGCGCCAACCGCGTTGGCACTGTAGCCAGCACCTGGGAGAAGAAAGGCAGGTACTCCGCCTGCTGAGTGCCGCGTCGCAGAGGTATCAGACAACTGTTCGATACCTCCCCTCCGTTCTTGACCTCGGACTTCGCATTCTCTACCGCTGCCTCGTATTCATGGGTTGATTTTTCACATGTCTTGCTGTGCAAGCCCCACTTCAAGTCCTGTAGCTCGTTCAAAAAGAAGGTGGGAATGAGATTGGGCATTTTCTTGTTGCAGATGCCTGATTCTGAAAAAGAGGAAAGACTAAGGCCCTAACAGAATAGACTCCCACATTCCATAAACCGATTGAGGGGCACAAAGGCCAAGGTAACACCAAAAAACCGGTCAGTCAGACAAGCGGACGGAAAAGCGCATGCACATGGACAAGAGGAACTCACCACCAAAGACATCAACTTCGTATTTAGGACAGCCACAGGGTCGAATGCGATCACTACGCTTCGTAACAATGTTGAAACTGTGGTAGATCACGAGGTCATTGGAGTCACGCAGAGGCTGCACATCGAGCTCCACCATGGGCACATTGAGTTCTGCGGCCTTATTGAAACTGAGAAGAGTGTTCTCTGGCCACTGCTCGTCGGCCGGTGTCTCCGGCTTCTCAGCACCCATCCCGCGGTGGCCTACACACAACAACGACGCTTCGTCCAACCCCACTGCAGGGTCCACTGGTCGCAGGGTGAAGCCACGAGCCGAGTTTTTCTTGAAGCTGTGGCCTTCATTTGTTTCCAAGGGCAGGGTGGGTCTAATCGTCAGGTAGTAGACTGGACAAGACAGAGAGAGAATTCGTCACATTTTATATAACCAAGTTCCAAACACGGATCGCCAAATTACCATGACTGCCTCCATGAGCCCTTTACTCTCCGCGGTTTCGATTACCTGTTTGACTCTATGGCATTCCGTCCCGGTTCTTCTTTATGTTAACGATAAATCTCGATTCTACACTGGTACATTTTCGAGGACTCCTCTGTGGCGCTAGAGGGTATCGTAGAGGCAAACGAACCCCTCTTAGTGCAGGACTTAAAAAGGATTTGAATAGGTAGGGAGCGACGAAGCAAATTTATCAATTCAAATACAGATAGATTCTCGGCACCTGCCTCTAATAGGTGACAATGACTATTAGCTACAAGGCTACCACATAAAACACTATGCTTCTTCTCAACCCCACCCAAGTTCTTTTTTTCCCTTTCCAAGGGAATAAAACTATCTACCTAATGACCAAAGAGCTGATAGATGTGAGGAAAACTCAAAAGCACCAGTTACGCCAAATCGTAATAAGCTGGTACAGAGCACGTCAAGCTACGGCAATGCCAGTTAACGAAGCTTATCAAAAGTTCATCAAATACGACTGGCGCTCTATTCTGGAATGCATGAGGGGTGCCAAAAATAACTTTCTGCTATTTGGATCGGCTAGATGGGATCCATGATGCACAAAGTGACGAGTTCGAACAGAACATGGATAAGGAATTATAAACTGAATGTCGGACAGCAGCACATTTCACACTGACACAGATCTGACCTCAGCATTTACTCCTCAAAAAGGTCGTCTCGTCATGCGACTGAAGCATCGGAACAAAATTTGCCTCTAGAACATTGGCTCATGAAAGTGATGTAAACATGGGGAACTAAAAGGCTCCCTAGAATAAGATATACACTTAATCAGAAAATGTGACAAGTATCGTACCAGAACAATGTTGGAATTTATCTGTCAAAATCAACTTTTTGGTGTGTAAAAGTGATTTTCTACTGCGTTGGAATTCATATCTTTTTAGATGTGAATTCAACTCTTCCCAAGTGTTCACCCAATCTCAAAAGAAGGTTACAAATCTTCTGGGGAAAAGGCAATGATCTGCTTTGTCTTTGAACATCAATTGACTCCAAACAACTGCAAGTAAGTAAAATCCCTTCATGACTGTTGTCATTAAACATCAATGCCTTCTCATTTGACTCACGTATCTGCAAAATAGGCGTATTTCCATCACTTGAAAACGACAGAACACCTAAAAATAACTTTTGTTGACAGCCATTTTGCTATGTGCTGAGTTCCAAAATCCGAAGGAACAGGAATAATGAATTCGGACGTCAGAGTTAGTCGGTGACCCAAAAGGGGGTAAGTGTCGACGCCTGCCTCGAGTACTTTAGGTTCACCAGACTAAATGATATCTCCAAGATAAGTGTGAGGCGATAAAAATGGTCGCATTCTTTGGTTAATCGATGCAATATTCCGTGTTTACTATATAAACCAGATGTTTTTTTTCATGTCATTCATTGCTTTGGTGGCGACGTTGAACGGACTTTTGTTTGAGATGTCTGAGACAAATGAGACATCATAGGCATATGGTGGAAGAGAGGAATGATAAGAATGAGCCAGTATCTTCACCACTTTCACCCCAAAATTCGGGTTTTCCCACGGGCCGACTTTGCATTTTGAGATCGTGCTTTGTCTTCTAAGGTGAAATGTTCTGAGTGATTCACTAGTTCTGACGACTTCTCAAAAAGGTCCTTCTTTGACACTCTTGAGATATATCGAATAAATCGGTCTCAGCCTTGCCTAACTAGTCATCAATATACAAATGGTATTTTACGTGCCTCCAAATCTTACAAGTTACTGCAGCGAGTCATACCAAAAACCATGGAAACTTTTCGCAATTTGATAAACAGATCCATTTTAGGAATTTGTGCATAAGTATTCATAAGGTGAAAGTAATTCCTTCACAAGGTCTGCTTTAAAGACAGGCATTTACTGTTTTGACTTCACTGAAGAGATTCACCACTAAAATAAGGTCATTATTAGTGACAAAGAGCAGTGACCAAGAGGCAGTTGTACCATTTCCTCTTATTTACTTAGCAATGCCAAAATACCGCTAAGGTAATGACAGTAAACCTAAACTCGACCTGGCATTTTACTGATGTGACCGGTCATCAGGAAATCAATAAGTAATCAAGGGAAGCGCAACATAACTGACCGCACCGACGGCCCTTGTAGACGGAGAAGCGCGTTTTTGAAGTAGGGACATGAGATGACCTCGTGAGAACGAACATGTTTAAACACTAACATACGAACTTGAATTTAGTTTAGAAAAAGCATTTTTGAACTTGCAAATGTTTTGTCACTTGTCCTAAAATCATTTAATTCGTTCGATTAGTTACTTAAAATCCGCAGTGTTTGCGCCTGTCTTCATGGTTTTAAAATAATTTCTGAATCCAATTAATTAGCAGCATCTCAATACAGTGTGATCACTGTCTCATATCTAGCTAAGATTTCTAAATGACAAGGCCATGACTGGTGGCTTTTCACTAAACCCGTGAAGGAGCCCTCTGCTGCGCAATCTGGTCATGCGTCATGTTTTCGAATTCCCCTAAGTCGTAATTTATCGTAAAGGTGTATGCTTAATGATGAGAACCTCAATAACTTTCGCTGTCCATGCAGGCATACATGCGCCTCGATCTGCGTTTATCAAAAGAGGATGAACTTATACCCATCGAGAGAGGCTTATGACAAAACCATTTCAAAGTGATAATAAACATACCATCAAGTTCTCCTCCACCAGAGTCGATGTTGACGGTTTCGGAGCCTGCTTCAGTAGCAATGTTTGTTGGGCACACAAATTTGGCAACCATGGGCACCGAAACGTTGGATGGATCCTCCGAGAGGTTCACCTCAATTGTCTAAAAGGGGAAGAAAAGGCATTTGCAGGGCTCAAATGTAGTGCGTAATATTTTTTTTCCAAGGAGTCCAATACATTGATAAACAAAATATCAGTTAATTTTTGTAACCTCAAAAAACCTTCTTAAAAAAATTCCTACAGAAATGACATTAAGAATCTTATGTATCTCTAAATCATACAACTCTATACCTTGGCGCGACTCATCCTATTATTACCACTTAAACTTTGGGCGTTTTGAAGGAAAGCTATTGCAGATTCACACACTTTGGACAAATCCAGTTCGCCGTTAAAATTAAAACTTGGAGAAGACTTCTATTTATTAGTTACACAGGGAAGGAAGAACTGCAGTCATAGTTGCGTTTAAAAAGGATAAGCACGATAAATAATATCCCTTATCTCAGGTCTATGACGTCCCCTACTTCAACGTGTTTGCAGTTAACTACTAACCCAAAGGTGTCACAAAATGATGTCTTTGCCATGGGTCACGTATTTCCTAACCGTGATGCAATATGAAAAATCTCGCAGCAGAAGCTGAGTCGATCAAAAGCATGATTTTCGTGTTCATGTCCCGTCACAGGTTCAGACAAATTAATGCTTCCATTGAAATGTTTAGAATCTCTCGAGGAATTTCTATAACTTTAATTCATTTAAAGACAGCTTAATGAGGCAACAGTGAGGCGGATCCGGTTGATACTAAAGGGTTGATTCTGTTTAAAGTTCGATAACTACTTTATGGTACTGCCTCATCTAGAGATAGCTTTGAGATTGGTCTTAAAAAATGCATAAATTTAAGGAATCAGGGTCGCATTAAACTATTGAAGCATCACCTGAAGCCTTCTTGTAGTCAACTTTGAAAGAGCGCCGGTTTATTTACCACACGGGTTCTTGTAAATGTGGAGGCGGTGTTCAAACCCATGGTGTAGCACACACCCATCAGTCAGGCACACCAAGGGTGGAGCAGGCCCACGTAGTTTTCTCATCAAGCAGCTTTCTCTGGGTGTATGTGTTTGTCTGTGTGTCTAATCCCCTGGGGTGTGCACACCTGAGTCAGAAAGTCCGTATACAGACATGACTGCTACTTACGGTATTCAAAGGGGCGGCCCATCGTGCCTCAGAAAGATAATTGTCTCGTGTAATGTTACATTGTGAGGTCTCGAAGAGTCTCGTTTAGCCTATGTCTGGAACTTGAGACATGTCGGGACATTTTGAACATATAATTCCGACTATTTTTGAAAAAATTGAGGAAAGTGCGTCCACGAAGAGGGTACAAGTGTGCGAATAAGTCTCACCAACTACTTTTACTACAGAAAACACGTGCCTTTTAAGTACCTTGATTTATAATAACCCATTTGATTTGCATTTTGGCCTTAAGTAGTATGTATAGCAGCTTCCTTAAACGCACCAGCCCCACAGAAAACTGTTACAAATGCTCAGCACTAAGCAACATGTAACTACCTGTCATCAATTTCATCAAGGTGGCAGCCAATGATTTAAACAAGGATATGAAATTACCCATCTATTTATTGGAATTTCCGACGAGCATCGACAGAGAAGACCGGTTATGGTATCATTGATTTTCATTGGTACCCACTGTCTTGTTACCATTTCGCCCTCAATTCGCCAAGACGTCTCATGAGATGGTCCCAACCTCTAAAGTACCAAATGCATTTCCTTTTAAAATGTGCAGCAAAGGTAAAACAGTTAAGCCAGTTGGGTGAGGAACGCTAATTGGGTAAATAAAAGGACGGTTTTGGTTTCAATTGAGGAGAATAGATTCGATTTCTAAAAAAAGCTGCGGAAACCATGCTTGTCTTAAATAATCATATCATAATCCCAATCTCTTGACACTATATCTCAAACACAGCAAAACTAAATTAGACGCTGATTTCAGAGACACAGGTCATGGCAACCAAGGACACCACTCAGCCTCCGTAAGTTGATCATACTGAACATGAAACTTTGCAAGTTACTATTCAAAAACGCTCGAAAATCGTCTAACTTACCAAGAGGCAGGAAGAATTTTTCAGTAGAATGCGATCTGAGTTGGCATACACGGACTTTACCTGTAGGTAGCTGTAAAGTTGAGAGCGCAGCCCACAAAAATAAACTATAATCGCCTTTGAGTAGGGTGAAAGCGCTGTCGATAACACAGAAGGAAGGTGATTCATGCTTCAAAAAGTAATTTGGAAAGAAAATAAATCCAAAAACAGCTTGAAAGTGCACATGCAACATGTGTAGCCCAATCAACCAAATTTTTAAAGCTTAAAAGAATCATATCATCCACTATAGCCACATCCTATTCCCAAATAAAATTAGTATTAAAACACCCAATAAGCAGACTGCATCCAAACTAACAATAAAAATGTGTTCCTTTTGATCAAACCTAGCAAAAAAAACAAACAGTCTGCAGCGTCAAAACTCGAAAATGATGTCGAAAGTGATTGAGATTCTAAAAATGTGCTCAATGCTACATAATTTTAAGGACTTATATCTCGGGGACCAAATTGTCATCCATCTCCATGCTTACCTAAACCTCCTTTGCCCCATAACTAAAACAATAATTCTTAATGTAGCTGGCATAGACCTGAAAGTATATCTGCCGTATAAGACGAAACATAGGCCTTTAGTCTGATGCACAATACTCACCCCCGAACCACAAAGTGCTGTCAGTTGTTTGCACTGATATCAAAAGCCACTTAGTAGCATTAAACGCATTTCAAGGTGAACATATTTTAATTCTGAAATTTTTAGTGGTAGCTAGCAATTTTGCTTTTAGCAGCCTAAATAGATGCATCTGATTATTGAATTAAATCGTGTCATTTGTAAGCGAGTTTTTGGCAACTCTCTTTTCAATGTATGCAGTAAACACTATTTTGCAACTAACTTGACTTTAAAAATGAAAACTAAAGCGTTATATATTACTGCTACTCAAATTGTAATCAAAATAGAGCTATATTTAGCTATTTTCTCGGTGGAGGTGTATACAACGCATCTGAGATCGCCGAACGTGTGGCACCCCACCTTGAAGTTTTTAACGTGTATTTTAATCCAAGTGCCAGAATTGCTACTCAGGGTCTGACTACTTGGGGACTGATTTCATAAAGAAATTAGCCCTTTTTGGGACCGTATAAAGTCAATCCAGCATGAATTTCCACTGGTAACTTACGGAAAGTTTGTGAGGGATGAGCACGACAGCGAGTCTTACAGTCAAGAGGAGGCACTACCCAAGAGGTCTAGGAAGCCCATATAGCTAGACACAGCCACGCAAAGTCACATCACTGGGACACCACCATACACTAAAGCTAACTAGGTCATCCCTAAAGTGGATGAATGCTCCCGCAGGAAAATGGGAAGACGGAAGATTAAATCAAAAATAGTCAATATACATAACACAAACGTACATAGTGGGAGTTCAAGGAATAGAGATGATCGAGGATAAAAGGTTGCTAGAGTGCTACATTTTCCTACACCTGGGAACCATCACCTTTGGGTACTACGACAACGGGCTGCTGTCCACCTTGCCAAGCGTTGGCAAGGTTACGTAGCACCGACTGGATACCTACTATCTCCTCTGCTGGTGCGGCCTCCGCAATCTGCTGGATGTCCTGCAGCGCTGGCGACAGAACCCCCTCATCCTCATCCTCTTCCTCTCCCTCCTCCGCTTCCACTTCCGGCGCTTCACCATCCAGTCTCTGATGAATTTGCTGTTGGCAACAAATGTCCACCAGGGACTCCAATTTCGCCCCAGTCGGCAAGGTGGACGTGGAGGAGGGTAGGAGCGGTGATGATGGTAGTAGCGACTGTGCTTGAACACTTTTTAATTCCTCAGTAGAATTGAGGCTCGACCTCTCCAGACGCTTTTTCCGACGAAAGCGCATGTTGATGATGTCTCGTGTGGTGCAGATTTTACCGTACTTCTCTGTAAAGATGAAAATTTGAATTGCAGGTTACGCGAACTTACGCATACATACAACTCCATTAAACTAGTGAGATAGGATGCTAGCAATGTGTTACGTCGGAGTTTGGTTATCATTTCCGATTCTGTGAATAAGGCTGTTTGTGGTAACCTTATAAAAACGTGATTGGAAATCAAATTAATTCAAAACATCAGATCGCCAATCACCTCAACCTGAGTACCTACCTCTGAAAAACACTTTAAATCGCAATATCGTCCGACAAGGTGGTGAGGACTGTAATCAAGAAGATAAAATAAACCAACCATAAAATGATTTCAGGAACTAAAAGAGGCTAGCAATATACTTCCGCCACCCACAAATGTCATGAATGGACACAATAATGCACTAATACCGCTTTATATCAAAAAATTTGATTTCAGCGTATTCCATAGAACAAAATGTTTCCATTTCGATAGCCAAGCACCAACTTTAAAATAAGCTGAAATAAGTTACAACATCGTATTAAATCAGGTAGCAACCAGTATCATTTATCATGAAATTCAGACTAATGCAGAATGTACAACACATGCCTCCTACCTTTATTTAATTCCATAGAGGTTCAAATCAGTGCGTTAAAGTTCACCCACTCACAGAGAGGAAAAAGTTTTTTGAACCTTATTAGTCTGTCGGATTACAGCCTCCCACATTATCGACAAATGCAAAACCCAACTATTAAAAAAAACGAACCCTTAATATGGTGTTTCAGCTCTCCCATATTGGGATTGAAGGCAAGAATCTGCTCAATCTCCGCTGTCTCCGCTGGCGTGAGCCGTCGATTGTGTGGATAGAGCATTGCGGACTCAGGATCCACGGGATGACAATGTCGCATGTCGTAGCTGACGATCCGCAATCGGCCCTCGCAGTACTTCACCGAGAAGCAACTACCACAACCAATCTTCGTCGTGTGTTGGTTGCGCCGTCGAATCGGCTCACTGCGACGCGATCCGTAATGCACGCAGACATACCGCAACTTCTTGTACTTGCATAGCGCCTCCTGTCGACCCCCTGTGTTACCAAAAAGACCACTGGAGTACTTTATGTACACAGATCCCGTTGTCTTCTCGAACTGCTTTAGTCGATTGGTAAATTCCACATAGGAGCCGGCAGACATTGTAGGAAAAGCCTCGCGAAAACTATCACTGCAGTCTATAAAGGCTAAAAAGGCAGACTTATCAAAGAAACGATAAAAATGCACCTGGAAATGCAGAGGAATCAAGTTCAAGTGTAGCGGTACTCATCGGTGGAGGATGATTGTGAACCATGGAAAACTTTGCAACTTTGAAAGCACCTTTTACGCTGGTGAAATTTATCTGAGATGGACAGGGATTTTCTAGCCGTCTATATAGTTAACTTAATAAAAATGTATGGTCAGCACACTTATTGGAATGGGAGGAGCCCTGAACATGCAGAGTGCATCCATAGCATATATGATTGTACACTAAAACATCACGTCGGCTATCATCTTCTCGATATCGCTTCGATCGTTTGATAGTATAGACATAGCCTGTCTCCTGAACCCAAGGTTATCAGTAAAGCAAGGAAACCTCAGTAAAATTTTTTAAAGCCACTCTGAGGGATTCGAAGGAAGGGAATTCCAATAACTGAAAGGATTCCAAGAACTGTTGAGTGGTATCATAATACTCCGACGGGGTTTCGTAAGAACCGTTCTGAGTCAACTTCCACGGGACTTCCCTAAACTGATCATTTACAGAATCCATGCACAGAAGTGGTTAGCTATCCCTCATTCAATAACTAACGTTAATGCCACACATCACGACCTAAGCCAATAGCGAAAAAAAAGACAACCTTGGATAAAGCAATGCCTCATTTGTGGTAATTTTTAAGTAAAATTTCCCATCAATATTTGCTCAAACATCTCAAACATTTCCGCCTAAAATTATTAAGAAAACAACGCTTTTATAAGCAAGTTTTTTTGCAGTTTACTACCTCTCCGTTGATGCTAATGATGAACCCCGTGAGCCCAAGTGGGCTGCGTATAAACATTTCTGAATGGACAGGTTTCTTACTGGTCCTGCGGCATCAAAAAAGGATAACTCAGGCGGCAAAGTGTTTATTCCCTGGGTCGAAAAATAGTAAGATTTTTTTCATGCATTTCATTTCCTAGTCGACCCAAAACTGTGAATGATGTCGCCCAGCAAGCTGAAGTTGTTTCTGTCCTCCGAAAATGTTTGGAGGGCGCCGATGTAGGATAACTTTCTTATGTAATTCTTGTTTAGTTACCCAATCTTTTATTTTACGGGCCTCCGGGTACTGGCAAGACTTCTTTGATCCTCGCTCTTGCGCGTCAGCTTTTTGGGTTTGTTGGAATTCTTTCTTTTGTGTTACCTCCTGCAGACCCTTGTACTCAGACAGAGTCCTTGAATTAAATGCTAGTGATGAGCGTGGTATCGGTGTGATCCGTGAAAAGGTTAAAAACTTCTCCAAACTGGCCGTTAGCAGCAATGCTGAGGGTGCTAGCGGTTCGGTTTCTCCACCACCTTACAAATTGGTTGTTCTCGATGAAGCCGACTCAATGACTGCTCCTGCTCAGGTTTGCAACCCATCACCACATATTTGTTGCCTAGGCTGCTCTCCGACGTCTCATGGAAACTGATGTGAAGAACACACGATTCTGTTTGACCTGCAATTACGTGACTCGAATCATTGGTCCAATCACCAGTCGCTGCGCTAAATTCAGGTTCAAACCCCTTGATAGCGAGGTCGCAAGGTCCAGACTTCGCTATATCGCTGACGCTGAGAACATCGCCATCTCTGATGCCGTACGACAGCTCTTTTCACCTTTTTTAATGGTTTATCTGTTCACCTAGTTTCCTTTTCTTTGGGTAGACTTTGGACCACCTTTTGGTCTTGTGTGAAGGTGATCTGCGTCAAGGCATCACTTTTCTTCAGTCGGCTCTCCGTTTTGCAACCCCTTGTGGTCAAAAGGGATCCACAAAATCTGTTCCTGTCACTCGTGATGATCTGGATCGGGTAGCTACTGTGGTTCCCGAGCAGTTTGAAAACGCTCTTATTTCTGCTGCAAAAAAACGTGATTTTGATGCTCTGCAGTCGACAATCCTTGTAAGAGGACTTTCAAATCCTCTCATTGCTTTGATTGATTGAATTTATCTGCTTACCGAATAGTTTCACCGTAGGACTTTACAGGAGAAAGTCTCTCAGCACCTCAATTTTTGACTCAACTGCAATCGCGAATAATGGATTCGACGGAATTTTCGGATCGTTCAAAGCAGAAGATATTGCAGGATATGGCGGTAGGCAGTATTTTTGTCTCTGTCTTTGCATACTAATACTCGGGTGCCTACCCTTGCTGTGTATGCCCATTTCAGGAAATTGATTTAAGAATAATTCAGGGTGCAGAGGAGTACATACAACTTCTTCATTTAGGCTGTCAAATCATCAAAAGTTTGGCTTGAGATTCGAGACATCCTGTGAATTTACAGAGTAACGGAACTTGATACGTCTCTAATGTTTCTGCATTTACATATTTTATAATGCACTTTAATATGTTTATATATCTTTCATTTTCATTTGGTTACTTCAACCCTTGAAACTGGAAGCTGGAAACAGGATTTACGTTTAGGACGTGGTTAAAAAGCGCCCTTACTGGTGAGCCGTTCAATAAGACGCCCTCCAGGGCGACTACTCACACTGACAAACCAATCCTGGGTCCTTGCTGCCGCGGGTGTATTTTGTGGCTACGAGGTTTGAATTAAAGGTGCTCGAAGGGCAGATGCTAGGTGTTGTGTGAGTGTGATATTTTCCAGGGTCGCGCAGACTTCCTGAGGTTGAGGATTCCATTTGAGACGCGTAAGGTTTCTTGTTGGTATTTTCTTCATTCCCACGCTAGACTGTCGTTTTCTACGTCTGTCCGTGGACTCACACTGGACCTACAGCTGCGAGAGGTGCTAATTAATTGGAAATAAATGTGCTGAAGACGGTATGCTAGTGTGGATTTCATTCTGCATAGAATTTGCTGTGGGATGTCAAATGAGACGGCTGCCTCCGTTTTGAGGCTAAGCATGATAGGCATTAGTGAGGCCTTGCTGCCTTAGTACAAGGCCAGATGTTAGAAGCAATGCGGATTTAACGGATCTCAGTCATTTGGATCAGTCTGCACAGACATCTTAAAACAGCAGCCTAGCTTATGCACGTAAGTCTGGATGTGAATTTTGCATCGATCATAAGGCTCCAATGGCTCTCATCCCTGATGTCGCTACCAAACTCAACGTTTCTAGTGGCATAAAGTTGTTGCCGTTTTTTTCTTGCCTTATAGGGAATATCTCTGGTAAACAATAAAAGTTCTCCCGCACTACATATATGATGAGGTTTGGAATTGCTCCAATCTCGATCATTGTGGTTGGCATCAGACACACCCTATGCCATCCGTTCTAATACCCTCTTCATCCTCTTAAACCCATACGGTGAACCCACGTCCAGGCCCACATAGTTAATAACGTCGTTGAGAGTAACTCAGGCGCTGCAAAATCGCTTGAGTTTGTCGAAATTGCATTTCCGAATAGGTTGTGTACTTTAGTCCCCTACCCTAAATAATTTGAGGAAGTGGTTGCGCTATAAACTAGTCATGCGAAACGCCCGTTAAAAAACCATTTTGGGAGTGAAGTACGGACTTCGAAACAACTTTTTTCTATAACCAGTTGAGAATTCCTGAATATCATTTTTTCCATTGCCTTCACATTACTGAAGTTACAGTTAACAAGGTATGTTGGACATGCGCTATCTTAACTCCTTGTTTCACCAAATCTTAGTTAAAAGTGGCAGAAGTGGCTCGAGAGTGCCTGCTTGCAGTCGTGACTTGAAAAATGAACGTTCTTATTGCATACACGTACCATTAGGTGGAGGTGCGCCAGTCCACCGGTACGGTGCTCTTTATTGTATTCTCCGATCTTTTTACTTCAACCCACTCCAACGTCTGCAAGTGTTGGTTGGAATCGACAGATGTGATCCGAGCATGCTTCCTTCACGAACCCAGCCTGACTTAATTGAAAAGCGGTGAAAGCTTCTCGTCAATTTTGCTGTGTAGCGCCTGGAGAAGGTGGTTAGAGTCTGATGCATTAACTTCGGAATCTTCTTTAATTCTTGATAGCGAAGACTTAATCGAGAGCAACTTTTGGTCACGTCCAACATGAATGTTGGTAATGAAAACCTGTTAAAACTTACATCAAATGGGAATACCCTGTGTTGAAAGAAATGCTCATTGTTTTTCAGTGATCAGTAAGCAAACTAACATATTTACTTGATCCATTAACTGGATATTCCATCCTTCAAAGACAACACTTCATCCTCAGGAACCTATCCTTTGTGTGCGGTAAACTGCAGGTGCCATTCCTCTCTGTGAGTTGGTCCTGACTGTCAAAGGCGCAGAAGATAAACTTCTTCCTGGAAAATGGCTAGAACGCGTCAATCAGTCGAAGGAACGTCTTGCCTCCAAAGTGGTGCAAGAACTCACGTCCTAAAAATAGCCCGTCGAAAGATTTTCACCTGAAAATTGAAGGGGCTACTACCTCGCCTCATCCTCATCCCCCTTTATCCCCGATATTATTTCTTCAGGTGGCATTTTTCAACTTTTCTTAGAATTGAACTGCCGGAAACTAAAAGTGAGGTGGAAATGTAGGTGGCTGTGAGGTGGATTATTTCCTTCCAGTGACAGAATGTTTTCCAAAGTTAGGGTTTGCAAGCATGCCTCTCGCTGAAGGAAAGTTCGTGGATTGCAACGACAGCTATTGCAACAAATGAAGCACTTCAAGGAGTTCTCGGTATTTTGCGAAAGGGTCTCACAGACTTATTTAGCTGTTGTATATTTCATACTCTTTCAGTACGCGGATCCATGCGACAAGTTCTACCACTTCCCCCTCATCGATATTTAAATAACAGCGAGAACGGAGTTGGGAATAAACAATTCGCATGAAAGGGTTTTTTTTCCTTTGACATTTTTTGGTTTTTTTTTCTCCGTAAACCTTGAACTAACTTTCCTAAGTGCCTATCCATAATTCATTCCTACGCTCACACAACGACGACAACTCCGTTTTTTTTCCTTTGAGGGTGCTCAGAGCCTACACAAGGGGTAATCTTGAAAGCATTGGGGCGCGACTACAGCACAGACTTCCTCTTAAGCGCAGAACATCTTTGCTGGGTTGCGGCAATCCTCTGCCAGAAACAGGCCGTCTAGGTAGGAGACGTGAGACACGAGTGGTCTGCGTAGACACATTTCACTCAAATCTCATTTGCGGCGTCAACAGTACTCGGCAGGAGAATTAATTTGCTTACTGGTCTCTTTGAAAGTGATTTACGGGATGACGCTAGTCTGATATTCAATTCATGACCTTACCAATGTATGGTGATCCACAAGATGGCTGTAAATTACCACAGGCTTGTGGCTCTCTAGTGCGTAATTAGCACAGACAGATTGTAGTACAAGTTGTTGCATCACATTTCGCAATTCCTTGCCATTGCGCAGAACCTCTTCTACGAGCACTAGGATTGTACGTACAGTGCTTTTGTAGCATACAGATTCTCGGTCAATTTGAAGCGGTATTGTGGAGGTTTAAATCAAGAGGAAACTTTGTAATTGGTGAATAAAAAAAAAGAAAACGAATTCCATGACCAATCTCTGGAAGTTAACATGGTGCAGCGTCCAACTCATCCAAAGTCTAAATGTTTCCTGAATTATTGTACTTGTCAATTTCAACTGAAAGCTTGCTTCCACGATCAGACATTCCACGCACACGCAGGAATGGCTCGAAGCTGCGGGCTGGGGGCTGCCATGGCTGCGATCGTCATTAATAGGCAGACCAACGACCACCTTTGGAAGGTTGACATCATTCAATTAGAATGTCTTACTACTCAAATGCTGAACGTCCCGTCAGGTGATATTCGCTAACAGCTGGTCTGTAACCGTCTTAGCAACGTCCTCCCAGGTACTACACATCCAACAATTCGACATTCAGACAACTGGATGTCGAGAGCTCTATGAGAAGGGACACAGTCCTCCTGAAGCCTGACCAACTCCCATGTCGCAGAGCTTAATCATCGAAACTGCTTCATTTCGTTTCGCTAGGGAGATCATATCCCACGTCCTCCTTCGAAGAGTCAAAAAGAACTAACAATTTTTGAGGAGAAATTAGCATAACTTTAATTTGGGCCAAGACATCTCCGTAAGCATTGGTTTCAGGCGGTTGTAACAACAATAATCCTGATTTTGAAATTTACATATATATTATTGGCATCAGGTAATGCGCTGGTGATTGAAATCCCCGTGAATACATTTCCAGCATTTCGGTTACTCCTGGGGACGTGAGACCTGACAAATGATTAGGTCGCCTTCAACGTTTTTAGGTGTAGCACACCCCCGATGGGGGAGAGGAACGCCGCCGACAGAGATGTGCGTCACCAACAAGGTGATCAAATCAAGTACTAGGCGCATCACCTTAAAAAGCAAAACCGACTTAAGTAGTTTAATGAGCAGAAGGGTTCACTTCCTCCCCGGGGTGATCGTGATCCAGGCTCACTTTGGAACCTCTAGTGCTTAATTGTCATCCTAGCTCGCAGACCGGTGCTTCTGTCACGAGTCTTCATGGCCTCGTCTTGCCGCAACTGATGCCCCTCTTAGTGTGGTGCTAGCTAGAAGCCACTCCCTGGGGTATTTGATCATCAGGTTCTTTGTAAACTAGACGCATCAACACCGGAAACGCAGCGTGGTATACCCTATTCGCCCGAATAGGATGCTGGAGCACGGTATGCTGGTTTGGTGCTGTGTTGTTCTGCGTTATTTAGCAATTCAAGTGTGGCACGAGGAGGTTACATAAGTACCGCAAAATCATCCATGCCTTGGTGTTGACAGGTGCGTGTGTCAGTAATGTGGTGTGATGTCTGCCCCATGTATGGTGATGGGTTCACACGGCTAATCACAAACAAAAGACACTTGTATACGCAAATGGCTCCGGACAGGTGGCAGGCTCGGGTCTTTAAACTACTCTGGCAATTGTTTATTCACTAACCGAATTACAGGTTTGAGGTCGTGTGTATCGAGTTCGTTGGATGATTGAGATCGGGGCTTTAAGCTCGAGCAGTGAAGCTTCAAGGCTAAAGCATGTAAACTCATTGCTTTAGCTGCCAAACACGACGATAATGGGATTGCACAAAAAACTTTTGGCCTCCATTGTCGAACTTTAATCGGTGGACATAGCGGGAAATGCACTTAGCTAACACAAACTGATGTCCGGCGATTAATCGGGAGAATCACCTCGTGTTTTTTGCTGTGACACCTTTTTTCCTGCAGAAATGGATTACCAAAAATCACTATGGTTGTGTGACCTCTGACGCTGGACTCCCTGGGTCAGCTGATTTGAGATCCTTGATATTCCAATGAAGGACGCCAATGTTTGGCATAAATGAAGGAATTGCCACTTTAGAGGGATTTATTAAAATTCTAATGTCGCAGTTGTTTATTTTGTGTATTTTTTTAATCTTAGCATCAGAATTCAGTCTGTCTGTTTTGCTGGCTTTCTACTGGTCCAGAGCGCAGTTCACTAAATTCCGCTTTTCTTGTTTTTTTTTATCGTTCTCCGTTAGTTGTTTCTTATAACCCACTAGATTGCTACTGTGCTTGTTTTTTTTTCTTCTGCTGGTTTTGCTTCTCTTACTTTGGCCTCGAAGATTTCCTTTCCTTATTTGGAATCGTTACATTCGTCTCAACAGGTAACCACTCGAATCGCCATCGGTTTCCGCGGACAGGCAAAGAATCTAGGACGTTAGAGGATTAAGAAATAACACATTTGATGAGAGGGTAACCTCCCTTCTGCCCTGAATGCCTTGGCTAGTAGCAGGAGAGAAGAGGGGTGAAGGGATTGGACGCCAGCAACTCTATGTCCACAAGTTTAAATAGAGGGAATTCCTTCCCATGCATCATACCCCAATACGTTCTCTTTATTAAGCGATCCTCATATTCTTCTAATTTATTTAATTGTTTGTAAATTAAAAGCATTAGCAAAGTAGTGATGAAATGATGCCACGTCAAGTGAACTGTAATGTGGTCAATGCCAGTGACAAGAGTACAAACAGAAGGCGTCACAAAACAGTTAGTGAGTTGGTTAAAATTGAATTGGCACTTTAAACTTCTTTTCAATTGTAAAAGGCGATACAAAAAGTCCACTTAACTCACCCAGTGGTAGAGCAGATGCCAAAAATGGTCTAAGTGGACTATTACCTGAGTGACCTCTCACCCTCTCCGCATACAATGAGCCCAAAAGGACATCCGCCCACATTTTCAACATTAAAAAGTAATAAGAGGCAGATCATTAAGTAAATGCGAACGTGGGATGTCAATCATTAAAACGGCAATTAATCTGTCAGTTAAGTAGGTTCCCATCAAAGAAAACTAAGTCAACAGTGACTTGGCATTAAACCTGTCATTTATCTGTGAGAAAAGCGCTGGAGCGGTCCAATCATATTCGCAGTCTTTTTTAGCCCACATTATCTCCCACGAAGGTACCCTTATTTTTCCATCTAGAGTGAATTTGTTCATGACCTTATGACACAGAAGATTACTTCAACAAGCGTGGTTATTTGCATTTTTGACTGTGGCCGCCAACTTCATTGTGGGGTGCCAGTCAACTCCGGCACTTCGATGCTTTTGAAGCGGTCAACGGACAACGCACAGTATGACACCTTGATTCTGAGTCGATAGATGGTCTGGCCGTTGCCAGACTGCCACGTTGATTAGCACGACGTGGGGCCGCATGAGGTAGTCATGTGAGCTCCATCCCAGCATTTCGTTAATGGGATTGTGTTACATGCTGATGAAATTGAAAGACCCTCTCATTGTGCCACCACTTTCATCCTCTAAATCCTGTTAAATTAGTGCCTTTAAGATATCGGACTACAGTTACGAAAAATACCCTCCATTCAAATCCTTGCATAAGCCATAAGAAATGAACTCTGATGCTTGTATATAAGTGTATGCGCTTGCAGGCAGCACCAGCATTGACAGGTCGTAATAAACAAAACGTGAATCCACGTATGTGTGTATGTATATGTGAATGTTAGGTGCGGGTACTTGCTTCTAAGCACACACTGTGAGGGTCGAGTGCTTGTGCACACTTATGTGTGTGTGTGTGTGTGTGTGTGTGTGTGTGTGTATGTGTGTGTGTGTGTGTGTGTGTGTGTGTGTGTGTGTGTGTGTGTGTGTGTGTGTATGTGAGAACCCAATGAAGTTAAATCTATTACCTACCTTCTTATGATTGTCACCACGTCAATGCTCGATTCAGTGCTACCGCCTCCTCCCTAATAAGCATGCCAGAACCGTGTGTATACATCCATCACCAGGAACCAGGCGCCGATGAAAGCGTACACAGCCTCTCGAGGGCCAGAGTGATCAACAAGTCGGTGGGGAAAGTTTTGTGCAACTCTGAAGTTGTCTACCTTTTGATTTAGGATTTGCACACGGTGAAGATCAGCGAGCCTTTTCTGATCCCCACACACTTCATTAAGAGGTCGTTTCCTGGATAACGGCATTACGAGGTAACCTTGTTTAAGCAGTGCCAAGTGGAAGCCAATCTTTTACGGACCTGCGCTTCTAAATGCGGTGATTCACACACTCACGTCCAGCGCCCCCTTTTTAGATAGCTTAGTAACTCGACTTCAGGTTTTTTTTCTACCATGTGTGGCTAAAATTCCTTTCAAGCATTGTGTGTCACAAAACATGATTTGAAATAAGGGAGCAGTTATTACCTGGCCTATAGTGGTGAATGAGTTGGAGAGAAATCGGTGGTCTACCAGTCGTTGTCAAAATTTTGGGTTTTTTTTCTTGTTCAAACAAGACACCAACTGTCCCCGCTTCTTCCCTTCCAATCTAATTCATTTCTTTTGCATAAATTATGTTTCACTTATGTGACGTGCGAGCTCGGATAAGAAATCAGGGCATTAAACTCAAGTGGCGGTGATAACTGACGTATTAATCAATGTGAATTTAAAATGTGAAAGGGTCACGCACAACCTTCAAAAAAAGCAAGACGAAATCGTTTAACTTATTTTTCAAATATGTGACAGATTTTTGGGTAAATAGAGGCCCCAGTAAGCAGGTTTGGGTGTTACGCCCTGCGGGGGCAACTGCAGTGAGCCCATCATCACGTGATGAAGCTGCTCGACCTTGAAGATAGCGCCGTTTTCAAAGTATGTGCGCAAGCCAATGGCTGCGTCGAATGCAGGATGGGGTTTTTTGCGCTTTGGCAAGCCCTAACTACTTACACGTCATCGTTGCATTTAGATTTAAGATACGATAATTCTGCAAAATAAAATTATTCCACTTCTTTTCTTTTAGCGCGGACTATTATAAATTATGCGGACTTTTACGTATCGTTAAAACGCAAGTTTGAAACAATAAAATTGGCGTGACTTATTGAGCTCGGCCAGAAGCGCGCGCTACACAGAGTCCAAAAAAGAAAGGTTATTCACTGAAATCTAAGAAGTTGTATATGTAGTAGGGCGAACTGACCTTTGAACTATGAGCACTTATTTTCTCTGTGGTACACTGTTTATGACCAAAGCATATTTTTAATGCTCGCATTGACGCGAGTATGTGAAGGCCGTGTCTGCGGCTTTGATGGTGACTTCTGTCCATGACAGTAATTTTTTTCTCTTCGTGGTCGCCAAAACGGAGTACTGCCGCATTGAGATAGGCAGCGTGGAAAAAAACGCCAATCGAAGGCGTTGTCCAGTTCTAATTGGAGGACACGTTGCCTGGGTGAGGTTGGCAAGACCTAGCCGCCGGGCTTAGCTATCCTCCCTCTTGGACAAGGTTATGAGGCTGTTTTTGCGGGCTTAGGTTAACTTTCAAAGTGGAGCTTGAGGAAGTTGGAGCTCCCAGCACAAGTAGAGAGGGAATTCGAAATATACGTTGAAGCATATCTCTATCCTTGTATCAAACTAGTTGATAAGGTTTCTCCATATGCATTTCTTTCTGTTGAAGGAGAAATACTAAGCGATTCAAAAATCTGGATGCTTCAACTTTAAGTGGTCAAGCCAAGGGATTGTGGATTTCGTCCATTTTACTCAACTTTAAACTGTTTTGTTCACTCTCTTAGCTACTGAAGTATTTACGGCTTTTTTGATACTTCAAAATGCCCTTTGACACTCGTACCTCCCACGCAAATGCTCCGATATTTGCCTTTAGGATAAATTTGGAGCTATTGAAGTGCATTTGAGGTAGTTTCGTCCACTCCCATGCCACCTCATTTAAAAGTCAGGAATAAATAATTATATTCTAATCTAGACCCCCTGCCTACCCATCCACCGCTTTGCAGGATTAATGATGGTGGGTCCCCCACCGCCTGCCTCAGCCTTCTTTCTACCGATTTCCTAATTAGATCTGGTGCACACATTCGCCGTTGCGTACTCGCAAGGAGGATCCCTCTCAAAAGCACATACCTGCATTTGGATGGCACGTACGAGTTTAGTGCAGTAATTTATCAACTGTAGAAGTGGATAACGCCTTCATTTGTGAGAGAGACTCTAGTCGTTGAACAGTTTAGCTAAGGCGAAATCGTACCTGTTAACCTAGTGGAGATGATGGAACATTGATAAATAGAGCACATCTCCATCAAAAGCGCACACGTTCTTTGTGGTTTCAGCATGTACACACATGTGGGACCCCATATGTGCATGCATACATATGCAACAAAGGTGGGACGGTATACGCAGAAAGGAGGACTTATGGGACTTGGGTTGCCTTGTCTTCAGAAACGGAAGGTTCTGCAAAAGTTCAACAATATGTGAGCCTACACGCACGCTTTCAATCCCCTGTTAGGTGCTTTTCAATTTAGCCACCTTGGTTGCTCGTTGTGCCCTTTGATCTACAATGTCCTGAGGCCTTCCTGTGAGGGGGACATTACTTAAAACTTCTTAGTGAAAGAAGAAATGAACTCGACTCCTGCTAAAAAGACTGATTTGGGTTTTTTTTAAGGTACACCCTTAATTAAGATGAAGATGGAAAAAAAACTGGGTTGGTTTAATTTTAATGCATTAATACAATTGTAAAAGCAAGAATTTCTATGGGCCCCTAGCCTCTCCCCACTGCACATGAGCCCGAGCCAACGTAGAATGGGGGTAAGCAGGTGCGTGGGAAACGATGACGTCACTCACGCGGTTACTGCGTTATTAAAAATCGATTAGTCCACTCCGTAAGCCAATCGCAGCGCCGCAATTAACCGCCACAGCGCTGCAGCTGCACTGTAGTTCTGCATGCCGTCAAGAGGTGTTTCCCTAAGTTCCGTTTTTTTGATTACTGAATGGATTTGGCCTGGTCCAGCGATGAATGGGGACGCATAAGCATGCACACGCACGCAAACGCTCCGCCAGCGTTGCCTTCAGCCGTGTATACTAACGCTAGTCGTGGCCTGAGGGAATGAGTCATCCCCCAGTGTCATCGTCGTCCTCCTCCTCTCTCCACGCTCACGTGCGCGCTTAACGAGCGAGCCATGAAAGCTTGGGGCTTGCGCTACGTTGCCCCAGTTAACCTCAGTAAATGTGACGAACCACACGGAGAGAAGCGGATACTGTGACAATAAATCACAATTTTGACGTCATGAGAGCGCAAATTGTCACGGTGTCACACATTATTCAAGAGAAATAAAATTTGTTTAATAAATGAACCACAGCTCAGGATTACACTTTCGTATGGTTTAGTCACGAAAGCAAGTAAAGCATGAAACGTCTAAATTGCACACTTCAACTCCGCACCTTTTTACTTTAGAAGCCCTGTTGTTTAATTCCCTAGCTTTTCGGAACATGACCAGTAGATCAGTGGCGGCCTTGAGCAAATTCAGGCGCCGGTTCTTGTCACGAAACAATGCGGGATGAACAAAGAACTGTTTATGGGACCCTCATATGAGTTGAACCAATTAGATACAGACACGATGAGCATGATGCGGCCTGGGTTCTCACACAGGCTGGAACGATCGAATCGTGTGAATGCACGGCACTGTAAGCCGCTTGAAGCCTACCTACTTTGTATACGCTTGACGCACTCTCATCCGATTACATCAACAAGTAAGCTTATGTAGTTTTCACGCCGACTTAGTCCAAATATGTGAGTGCAAACGTCAGAGTAAAAGACATACGTCGCGCAACATCACAAGAACTTTAAATTATATGCACCACAACGAAACGGAAGACGTCCCCTAGCGGGTGGTAATTTGCTGTAGCCACGAATTACCCTGTTTTCAGAGTATTTGGGGAAAAAGACAATTGATCATTCCCGAGAATTTATCAAGGACCACCACTTTTGTGGATACAATAAACGAAAAGGAAATGCTCCCTGGTTGGACTAGATATGCAGCAAATGCCATCCCATAAACTCCTTTTGTTTGATTGAATTACGATTCGCAACGCCCAATTTACTGTTATTACTTCTTGTACCAAAAATGCCGATGAAATGTGATGGCATGTAATTCCGCTATGGAAAGCAAAATCCCGTACTTGCTTTGGTCACAATATCCAGGCCAAGAACTGCGGCAGGGATAATGAGACATCCGGTTTTGAAAGTTCCTACATTCGTCAATGCCCTCCACACTTTATTTAGCGAAAGAGTATAATCCATAATGTAATTAGTTCTACCGAGGAGCATGTGAAATCGGCTAGAGCCTATCCATTTTCACCGTTTCGTGCGTATTATCGCACTTTTGTGGATGCGCTGTGAAACCTCCACGTAAGCAAGACTCCTGACTAGCACCGTGAGCCAGCAAACAGGGCTCTTCTAGAGGCGCAATTCACGCCCATTCAGAGGTCTGATCAATGTGCTTGTTGCTGTGTTGTGTGTACATTTTGCGCGCTGTCGCACTGACCCTCGATTGGCTAATCACATCGGTGCAACCTAGGCGCTGCCATCGATTAGTTTGTACGTACCAATCACAGGGCGAGATTTCCTCGACAGGCGTTGGCTGGCTATGGGGTGGCAAGACACGCGCTTCGTTTGGTCATTCCGAATTCTGTCTTGCTCTACTCAGCTTGCGCGAAGATTCTGCTAGAATGCTGAGGAACTACTGATAAAAAGGAATGAAAGTAACTCGTTACGTTTGGATTACCAATTTGCCGCCAGCATTTACGGAAGAAGAATTACGAGGAGCTTTAAACAGGTAAGGTGTATCCTGCTTATCATTAGTCTTAATGCTTTTAATGTAAGCTAATGCCTTATTTTATTTCTGCAGCTACGGGAAAATTCAAGGTGTAAAAGTTCTTAGTGACGGAGCTGTTGTTGCTTTTGCTGAGACCAAATCCGCGACGAAAGTTGTCGAGAGTTCCGTAAAACTCCGCAAAAATAGTCTTAAAATGCAATATTGTGAATCTCCTGATGCACTATGCACCGATACGCCTCAACAAAGATGTGATCAACGGTAGGGTGATATTTCATTCCGTTATTGATATAGGTCGGATTCGTTGTCGGATTCGAAGAGTGTGGCTGGTGAAATTGACACTGAGAGTACTTCTTCATCCCCGTGTAGTTCACACAGTTCTTCATCTGCTGCTCATCAGAAAAGGAGGTAGGTGTTTTGCTCACCTAAGGATACACGTGTTAGTTATTCTCCGATTAAACGTGATCACAAGAAAGGTAACAGCGGGTCCCAGGATCGGTCCTCGAAATACGATTCTCGTAGCAACCGTCGCCAGGATGGTCTTCGTGGTCTAAAGATTACGCAATTACCCCTTAGGTCGTCTGATACTAATCTGCGTGAAGGATTATTTCATGAGTACAAGAAGCATGGGAAAATTACTTCTTTGGCCATAAAAGGCACAGGGTCCAGCCGCTTCGCTCATATTACTTTCAAACTCGGTGAGGACGCCGAAAAGGCCTATGAGCATTCCAAGGGCAAAGTGTTCTTCGGTGTGTCAGTCCACGCCGAACTTGTCGACGGTCTTGATATCGAAGACCCGGATCTATGTCCTCCAGAGCACGCCATGGATGAATACCACCCGAAAGCAACAAAAACCCTTTTTGTTGGGAACTTATGTTCTGCGACTATTACTGAGGTGGAGCTGCAGCGTGTTTTTCAGGCCTATGGGGATATAATCGAAATCGATATCAAGACCCAAACAAATCAGCCTGGAACTTCGTATGCTTTTGTTCAGTACACGGACATTAAGAGTGTTGTTCGGGCGCTGAGCGACCAGGAAAGCATAACGGTTTCTGGGAAGCCCGTGAAATTGGGTTTTGGTAAGAGCCAGCCCTCCAACGTCGTTTGGTTGGACAATCTTTCACCCAGTGTTACCGAAACATTCCTTATGCGACAGTTTGGCCGTTATGGACGTTTGAAGGACACCATGGTGGATTTGAAACTTGGTCGTGCGCTTCTCTATTTTGATACAGTTGAGGCAGCACAACGTGCTTTAAACGAAACGCGAAATCGTTCCCTGCTGGGGAGAAAGGTTCAAATTGACTATGCCACTCTGGAGTGCCAGGTCGCGTTCATGGAGAAGTTCGGAACAGTTAGCAATTTCTATGGGAAGTACAGGTATGCTTGAGTTTTGTTTTTTTATCCGCCCTTTCCGTAGGGATAAGTTGCGCGAGATAGTTGAGGCTTACATGCCCTGTGGGAATTTAATGTCTTACCTGGAGGAAAACAGAGGGTATGTTTTTGGAGACGGTTAATACGTTTACTTTTGTTAGACTGTCTGCATTATTGCTTCATTATAGATCTCAAAGTGGATTTAATAGACGAACGAAGGATTTGGCTGCCTTGGTTGGATCAGCTGACCCGTCGAGGTCTAGCAAATATGGATATATTAGATCATCTCATCACTCCAGTTCTCGCAATGGATCACCAGTACGAGGATCTATATATTCAAGGAGTTCGCCTTCTAGGGAATACAGCAATTTACCTGGAGCTAGTTTCCGTAGTAGTGGCAGTGGTTTACTCTCAACTCTCATCGGATTATCTAGTTACAAGCGTCATCCGTGCTCTGGTGACTCACCAAGGGCTTCCTCAACTCGCGATCGTTCAAGGTATTCCCAATGCCGAAAGTCCCTTGCTCCAAATTCACTTGAATGCTCCCGGATGTCGAACGGTGGAGGATCTTATCAACATTCCATGGGGTACAGTAATGATGTTAGTCCACACAGACAGCAACCATGGTCCAACGGCAGGAAATCTCACTACGCCACATCAACTTGCAGTGATTCATCAGTGGAGCCAAAGCAGGATAAAAAGGAATCCCGTTCACATAAGCAGGTCTTAGAGCGTCAAAGAAGAGGTTCAAGTAAGCGGAAGACTTCTCATCGGATCAGTCTTGAGCGTCATCGACACAGGGACGATCCTCCCTCCCCCCAGCCGATTTCTAGTCGTCGACATTTGCGGAACTCAGCTGTGCCCACTCCCGAACTGAGCCAACCTATGAAATCTGGTGAGGGAGGTAGTGATTCTTACAGTGCTACGAGGCGTGTGAGCAAAGGAAAGGCTGCTGAAGTCTCGCGTTCGTTCGGCCATCAACAGAAAACCGTCATGTCCACCTGCTCTTCCAATGGTGAAACACTAACGAAACTGCAGCGGGAACGAATGGAATTGTTGATGAAGTTGTCCATGGTGCAGACGAAGCACAAATTTGAGGTCATAACTTCTGGGTCCTCTACACAGGCGACCTATAGGAGGTATTTAAATATATCTTATCAATATTCTTTTAATGGTGCCTTTAACTCGTTCTTACGATTTTCATCTTTTTTTGGGCATTGGTTAAATCCAATTCTCTTATGGGTTTAATCAGCATTTTGCCACTTCTAATGAGTATTTCCTGATTTTCGATTAGCCTGATTCGTGTGTTAGCCTTAAATGCCTTTTGCTTATTCACTCGTAAGAGTCAGTTGATTGTGCAAGTTTCAGACTGGTTTCATATGGTTGCATTATTTTTCTTTAAGGTCCCACCTTATTACGCTTGTTGGATTCAACAAATTTTACATGTACTTCAATCTGCTTTGTTAAATGAGTTGTGGGCATGTTTAACTTCGCATTCATATTTTCGTCGACCATTGAATTCTGTACGGAGTCATGATCACGACGACTGCCTCGTTTGTGAATGTGGGGCCATTCCGTTGTAACGACTGACTGATGTAGTTGCCTCTGAAGACATGCAAAACTGGCCATGCAACAACCTTATTTAAACTAGTACAGGTGAACTAAATTCAACTCCTTAGGGTAAAGTTGTAATCAGCATGAGCGGTCACAACCAGTATGGAATTCGTACTGTCAAAATGAATTTGGAGTTTGAATTCAGCACTACTGCCCTTCTTTTTGACTTCAGGGTGAACATGAATTCAATCGGTTCCGCCGTACTGCCGGAATCGCAACCTATTCGAATCCCCACTAAAGTAGGGGGCGACTTTGCTGTCTCCGCAAGCTCAGGTAGTGGAGGGCAAAGTAGTAGTAGTGATCCTGGTGATATCATGTTCTCCCCCAACATCGGGCCCCGAGCGTCATCAGACCGGTCATCACCATCCCAAGTCCCACCACCTCCTCCTCCCCCACCTACTCTACCTCCGCCACCACCACCGCCTCCGCCGCTGCCCCTACGACTTTCGTCGGTGGTCGTACCATCACCAGGTCTACCCACTTCCTCTCTACCCTCTTCCTTCGATTCAATCGCCTCACCTCCACCATGGGATACACAGCCAACGACAATAGAGTCCGATTTACCCCTCCTCGCCGCTCGTTTGCGTTCTCCTCTGTTCTGTTTTGATCCTCAGATATTGCCCGTTTCCGCTCCGCCGTTTACCTCAAAACTGGACGAAATTCATCTTTCTTCGCCGAGAATGACCTCTACCAACTCGCAAAGGCTGTCTCAGGACTCTGATTCTGAACAAGCTGTTGACGCGCTGGACTCTTCTCTTGATGAACGAATTCGACGTTTGGATGCGAAACTGCAACATTCGGAGAAAATCCGACCTACCGTGGATTACAGCAAATTCCGCATACGTCGAAAAAGCGATCTAATCACAACAACGGCAACCAATGCTTCCTCTTCACAAGCCTCCGTGCCTATCTCCGCTTCTGTCGTATCGACAGACATCACAATGTCTCCTTTGCGGTTATTCACCAGTCCGACCTCCCCCGATGTGGTTAGTTCGACCACGTCACCGGGCGTAAGACCCACTGATACCTCGGAATTCGTCAAGAGTATGCTTTCTTCAGGTAGATCTTCGACAAAGCTCAGCAATGTGGATTCTATCGTCTCCTCGATTTCTAATCACACGATTTCGCGTCACTTTCATCACTCTTATTCACCACCACCACAACTACCAACACTTCCAGCCCCTCCTTCGCAGCCTCTTCCTGCTCTCCCTGAGAAGTCCACTCTCTTGAGCCCCATCACACGGTCTCCTCTCCATACAGCGTCTCCTACGTGTGGTGGCAGTAGTAGGATGCCTGAGCATCTTTCCGACCTAAAACCACCACCACCGCTACTTCATACAAACGTGCGATCCTCAACACCTCTACACAGCGCTCCCGTAGAAGTCGCTTCTACTCCATCACCCTCTACCACGGCATCTGGTTGTTGTTTGAGCCGTTCTCCGGGTAGAACCATTGGGAGGGCACTACAAAGTCCAGGAATTAGGCCTATTTTGAAGAAGGATAATGTTATCACTGCAACTATCGCCTCAACGCCTAAGTCGGTGTCGCGATCAAAGGAGGTGCAGAACTGTACCCAAATGAAGGATCTCTTCCCCCCACAACCGGCTCGGACTATGCAAATCGTGAAAAAGAAATCCCAACAAGCGGTGTCATCGGAAGCGATCGAAAAAGAATCGATTTTTCCGGCAATTTCCCCTTCTTTGACAAGGCCGCTCTGCAATGGGTCTGTTGGCCATAAGAGATTGTCTGCCCCCTCTGCGCCACACCTCTCGCCCAAGTCACCGAAGATTTCAACTTCAAAATTGAAATCCTGTGAAGCCGGCAAAACGGATTGTTTGTCAAAATCGGCATCTGAAGCGAAGGAGGGAGAAGAAGCTATTTCCCCTAAACCTAAGAAGATGTGTGAAGATTCTCAAATTCCTGTAAAGTCGTCCAAAAGGCAACTTGTTCCCCCACCCACTACTCCTTTTGAGCGTAATAAACTTCACTTCAAGAAACTCGCCAAAGTTCAGGCCACTCCTGGTGACAAAAAATCGCATAGCACCATCCCTACTTCAAATCCTTCTTCAAAATTCCTGAAGTCTCCGGCTGGCCCAGAGTGCCGAACTGCCACTTCGAAGTGTGATTCCTGCACAAAGAAAAGGCGACTAAAGAGGAAGAGACAGGAGAGCGATGAAGAAGATTGGAAGCCCCAGGGTGGTCTAGATTCTATAAAAGTCGAAGACATTGGCACAGATGGAGTGCTTTATGAAACGATGTATGATAAGATCAAGCGCAGGGGTAATAAGGGTTATGTGAATGACCGTCCAGAAGCTAAACCAGAGGCGCTCAAATCTCTGCTCAATTCTAGAAAGCACAAGGTTGGAGGGGATACTAAGGGTGTGGAGCAGACGGCCTACGAATCGGAGAAAAATTTAGATGCTAATGAAGCACAAAATGTTCCAAGTTCAAGGCGACTCAGCAAAAAGCCACCTCATTTGACGCCCGAGTCTTCTGAACCTATGCGTCCTGTAAAGTCGTTTAAAAAATCTCGATTAAAGCGACCTGAAAGCGAGGGTAATTCGAGCTCCGAATCTGATAATCACTTATCAGTTGAGGTGTCGTCAAGTAGGCTAAAGAAGGTTTTGTCTGTGTCACGCAAACGTCGGGTAGTTGGAGACCCCAAGTTTGGTAGTCCATCGACCAAGTCTAGGAAGACTGCTGTGAAACGGCGTGTGGCCCGCAAATTAGTCACACTTTTCTCTAATTCAAGCGACAGTGATTCCGACTGCTCGCCCTCGACCAGAAATCTCCCGAGGGCCTTCTTTCCGGAGCGCCGTCGTTCAACCTCAAGATCTTCGTCAACTTCATCGACTCCTCAGATCAGCCGATCCTGCAGTCCTGCCGTCATCCACGAATGTGGCAGCAGCAACGATAATAAGAACAATGATGATGAGACTGGGGACTCCGAAGAGACTGCAATTGATGCATTACCTCTGCTTGAAAAACAAATAAGTAGTAATGTCGAAAATGAGGAAGAGGAGGTGATAGCGGCTCCGGGGATGGAGGTGTCTTCATCATCACCTCCGGCGTTACCGGCAACCGAAACGTTAAAACCGGATAATCTCACTGTTGTGAAGCAGGAGGAGGACGACGTGGTGGTGGAGGGAGAAAAGGTGGCAAATTCCGAAATCTGCACTGTCGTCAAGCCATCTCGATCATGTGGAGGTGGCCTTATCCTCACCTCCCCCTTAGTGAAACCGGTTGCTGTAACGAAAGCGGAGGAACTGGGTGATTTTGAGGAATCGGGTCTTGCACTACTGTCGTCTGCAGCGGAAGCCGAGGCAATGAAACAAGAGGCAGAGGAGCTGCAAAAACCAGCCCTTTTGTCACCAAAGCCTTCGGTGCAGACCCAACCTCTTACGCTAACTCCCCTTTCCATCATCCCAACACCCGCTTCTGCAAGCCAGCAACACATTACTTTGGTTGTCAACACAATCAGCAACGCTTCATCAACATCTCAAGACCCTGCCTCTACCTCCTCTACTTCTAAGGGGCAACCTACTTTCGTTTTGACACCTACCTTTTCACTCGTCACACCAGTTGCTGTTCCCACCGACAATAAGCAGCTAATTGTTAATCGAACTCCTCTACCCCAATCTATTTCGGATCCACTGCCACAGAACGAGGCGCCTGCCACTAAGCCCTCCTCTTCCAATACGACGGAATTTGTGCAGCATATAATCGAGCAGGTGACACAGCAGAAGAAGGAGGAGAGTTCACAGAGCCAGGAGAAAGTGAAACGAGCTAAAAAGTCGGCTCAGCAGAATAGTTCACATATTTCTACAGTAGCGACGGTGATGGCAACATCGTCGGCCATTCGTTCACTTCCTGGATCCTCGCACAAGCCGTCTCAGGCGGCGTCAGCTTCAGTGCCTTCACCGCTTCAACCGGCCCCAATATCTGTGGACCCTTACGAGCCGAATTTCGACGAGCCAGAAGTTATGGAGCTGGTGCAGGCACCGAACAAAGATACTGTGGCTGAAGTAATAAACTCTGTGGTACATGGGGAATTCGAGCAAAAGGACTATGTGCAGCGTTTGGTGAACGGAACACGAGTGCCCCTCTCTGGACATAATTCCATAAGGGTCACTACAAGTGAGGTGGTGGCGCCGGTAGTGGCCTCCGCTAGACCGGCGCTTAATTCTACATCACGAATTAGTCCATTGCCACCACCGCAGGAGTTGTTGGCGGCTTCGCAACAGCCTGTCGGAATTGCTTCAAATTCATTGTCATCACCAAAGTCGTCGCCATCAGCTTTGTCGAATGTCTTGGATGTGGCACCGGTAACAGGTTTTGCCGAAGATCCCAGATTCCTGTCGAGAACTATTCAAACACCGTCTACTATTGTTGTGGTGGGTCTTTTTCTGTTGCACTTAAACTCTGAGGGTTGTTTTTAATCTCTCTTGGTGTGGTCTTGGAATGATCTATGCAGACAGCTGGATGCCTAAGGTGTATTTGATGTTGCCGTCAACCTAAGTATCCTTTTTGACAGTCGTATGTGCTTTTCACAACTCTTGTTTGTGGTTGTTTTCTAAAGCAATTTGACAACGCCTAAGGATAGTTTGTAACTGAATCGACTTGTTGGCTAGGCAAGGGCAAAAAAGAAAAGCAGAAACGATCTGTGTTCTACTTTCACCACATCATGCTAGGAACATTTTTACACAGCAGTTCACGTGACACTGACGCACCGCCATCATTCCTACTTCAGTGTATTTGATCTGCATTTCAGACATCACCCGAACCACCACAGGTACAACAGCAACCACCCCAGCAATTGGTGGAGCCTTCACCCCTTAGTGAACGGTCGTCTATCCCCACAAACATCCTCAGTCCATTGCAAGTCTTCACTTTGATGGCCCCAGCAAATGCCAAATCTTCTGAGGCAGTACCTCAACAGATCTCCCCGCAGACACAACCGCAGTTGCAAGAAATTGCTGCCTGTCTGGCCAAGAATTACTTCACTCTGCTTAGTCAAGCACCACCGCCACAGGCTTTCGTGGATGCCGTCGACTCAGCGAACAAAAACTCACCGAACTCGGTGCATCCAGCCGCCCCACCATCGTCAACTACACCACAAAAAACCGCAGAGTTCTACGCTGCTGCCACCATGGCTGCGATGGCCGCTATGTCGCCCTCGCCCTCTGAGGCAGCTGCGGCGGCGGCGGCAGCAGCAGCAGCAGTGGCGGTTGCTGCTTCTTCCCCCAAGCATCCAGCTCATTTCTCGCCTCAGCTGCAACCTCTGCCTGCCAATTTTTGGTGGCTGGACCCTCAGTTCCTTGAGGATGTGAGCCTCCATTTCAAACTCCATTCTCTAACCAGAATTCATTAGATGATATTACCTCCTCCTATCTTGCATTACTTTTGGTGGTACCTTCTCTCACTAGTTACTTCTAATTATTAAAGCTGCTGGTGTAAGGTATGAATTGTGCTAAACATCATTGCTCGTGTTGTTTTTTTAACGAGCCCATGGTATTACTATTTGATCTCATGCCGCTGCTGTTTTGGAGTGATGGCATCCCCTGGAAAACTGAGGCCTTTTAGTTGTTGCCACAGCCTACCATGTTGTCCAGTTCTAGATCGGAATGGAGGTCAGTGAACGTTTGCGCTACTACCCGTGTGCGACACCTTTTGCTTGTGTTACTGGATTAGTTATTTAAAACAAAACTTTTTCTCATTATAATTTTATCGAATTTAGCATATAGCTGTTTTTGTGTAAGGTTATCGCAGATTGTTAAAAAAGAAGCAATTTATGAGTGCAGTTGAAGGACTAAAAGCTTAGCATTTTCAAATACTTTTGTGCGTGATTGTTAGTGTTGATGTGGACGATTTCCAGTAAAATAATTACATCATATAAAAAGAATGTCACCCGTTGAACATTCAACGAAGATAGTTTTTATTCGGTTCATTTTGTGTTTCGATTTCGACAGGCTCGTAATATAGGCGTGTAATAATAGTTTCCACGACTTCAACAATGTTTCCAAACCGTTGTTTCTATTTCGATTCTGCAGATGATACACGGATTTTTTAGGCATTTTCTCTGAATGAGTTAACATTTTTTAACGGTCACTATAGGTTTTCTTGCAAAACTACCATTTACTCTCAGGCAAGTGTAATTGATATTTGGCCTCTCGGCTTTTTGCGGTGAGAGCATGTAACGGATTTCCTTCATGTTTTTTTTCCTCAGAAGCTGCAGTTGGTGTGGCGAGGTTGCATGTCCTTGAAGAACGAGCGGGCGTCAGTGCGAATGCTCTACCTGGCGGGCAACCAGGACTTGATTCGAACCTGCTTGCAACTGATGACGGCGGTGAGCGACGAAACAGGTGGGGCGGCCTGGGCGTTGCGGATAGCCCAGCGGATGCGGTTAGGGAACTCGCAGCTAGAGGCGGTACAGTGGAAGTTGCGCGAGCCTGCCAACTACTGCATGTGCCTGGCTCTCGCTGCGGGCTCTCCGCCACCCCCACCCTCCACCAACACTGCCCCCACCACTGCTACCATTTCACAACGGGCCTATATGGAAGATAGCTACTTCGCCCAGCAGAACATGATCTTGCAAAATGTCATCACTTACTTGCAGGACAAAACGGCTGCTGGCATTATCAGCTGTCCCTCTTCCCAAGAGGTGAGTTTGTTTATCCATCCCATGGTGCTAGTTTTGCCGGTGTTCAATCCAGCCACAAGAACCATCGGTTGACCTCGCATTATCAGGCTTTTAATTAAGCGGGCCAACCAGTTGAGTATGTCCGCGGGCTGACGTGCTTATTTAAGGTCATCCACCCTTTTGCAGTCTTGGCCACCGGCCACTTTAATCACGCCAATCGGCTGGTGAAATTTTGGTTTTTTTTTTCAATCCGCCAAAGGGGCTTGATGGACCAAAACCGAGATTACCAGTTAAAAACGGTGGCATATTAGACCGGTGGTGGAATATTAAAGAGGGAAAATAACCTCCAAATTTTGTTCTCGGCTTACTTGCTTAGCATGGTGAAATGCAATTACTAATTTCATGACATCACGGCATTTTCTTCGGCAATTATTTTTTTTCAAAAAAGAATAAAGTTGCAACAATGCTTGAAAAGTTGTTGAAGGTTTTCGTGAATTAAACTAGCCAGTCCTTCCATCGGTCACAAGTGTAATAGCTGTTTCACCGTCTCAGGGATGCTCACGATTTCGTTACATTGTGATGAATTTTGTTTTGCAATGATAGCCGTCGAAATGCCGCTTCTAATATGGAATTGCATTTAACACAGCTCATGAAGCTGTATGCTCCTAACCCTGCAAATGCTAAACGTACACTCGCATTCAAATAACCGACCTCTTGTGAGGGTATTACCCGGAGGTCATTGCATAATTGGCATCACACTCTTCGATCACGCACTGTTGCTCTTTTCGTCACCGGTCTCGTAATGACGACTCGTTTCTACGGTGTGATAAACCTATACAGCGGGCTCTATGGACATGTGTGCATTTTTGGAGTGAAGCCGCTGTGAAATATGGACTCTGAGTGATAACATAAAAACTTTTTCTTGCCTTTTTTATGTGCCCAAAGGTATTGCCTACCCTGTATCTCTGTCATCCGGCGTGGCCCATTGTGATGCATATTTCTTTCCCTGTTTGCAGAACCCCTTTGTGATGCACATCTTCCCGCCGTGTGATTTCACAACTGCTCAGTTGCGATGTCTCTCGCCAGAGCTGCAACAGACCCTGACGCAGAGTGCAATACCCTTTATGCTTATTGTTGTCGTGTAGAGAGATGCAGAGGAAAGAAGAGGAAGGAAAGAAGGAGGCAATCCTCGATTTGTGTCTATCCGTCCATCCCGGACCCGCTCATTCATTCATCTATCCATCCATCCAGGCGAGTCGCGCAGCCGCCCCCTTTCTCCTCCGCAGCATGCGAGAGAAGTGCGAACTGCATTCGCACATGCATCTACCCACATACACGTGCACACCATACTAACGTGCGTGCGTGTGTATGGCGGCTAGCCTGCACGTATCTGCGCGCTTACGTGCGCGCATTTGCGTACACCGTCTGTTTATCGATCGCGAGTCTCATTGGCTGACGGGGTCCGTGACCTTGCCGTGTGGGTACGCGTAATCGTGTTTTGCGTGCGCGACCGTGGCAACGAGTCAATATATGTGCGTGAGCGCGCTTCCAGCGTTGCCGTGACTACCGCTACCAACGCAAGCAGAAGGCTGCGGAGACGGGATCGGCGCTTCGCACCAACTGTCGTGCAAGTTTTAGTGTTGAGAAATCCGACAGTTCTTTAATTTTAAACAAAAACACTCGACAGCCATTCATTCACACGTGCAGGGGCAATTCCTGCTCCCCCTCCGTTCTCCCCTTCCCTTTTTGGCAGCAGTAATTGATGTAATGATATAATGTTCAGTGAATGTGTACATAGATTTTGCCCTTGTGGATGTCTCCCTAGTAAATAATACTCCGTTTTAAATATGTATATAATAAAAGTGTGTTATTTGTGGATAGAGAATGTCCTCCTGTTCTTCCTTTTATTAGTGTTTCATCGTAGTTCCGTTTTCAATTAGCGTTGTTTGCCTGGACCACTTTTCAGAAGTTACTTGTCGTCTCTTGTTACTTCCAGCAAGATGCTGTACCCAACATTGTTGGTCCTGGCTAAAAGGACGGAGTTAGTGCATGCCACCCTCTCTTTGTGCGGTTTCCCAGGGCAGACTTTATCCACGCGGATGGATGATAAGTTTGCACAGGGTCAAGTAAGGCCGTACTGCTTCCCGGTCATGCGCTTCGGCTTTTACCTTTCTTCACAAATTAGGGCGGCTGCATCTAAGTTGTACCCGTTGCAGTGGGGGATCACCTTTTTGAAATGTTACTTGCTTTTAAGGAAATCGTCTGTGCACTTGGGGCCCTGGTACTATTTCGCCTCCGTGACAGCTGACGTTGGGGCGGTTGGTGCTATAGCGCTCACGACCCCCGTAATGAGTGCCGTTTCGGGGGTTTTCCAGATGCTGGTGTGAATGTGCTTTTATCAAACGACAGGAGTCGTGGGGAAGAATTTCGGGTCTCGATGGGTAGATTACTTCCCATGGTTTAAATGCTGCCTGCTCTGGTGATTGCCCCAATGTTCGATTGTTTGTTAACTTTGTATGGCCTCGCAGCACCCACTCGTTTAATGTGCCCTTGGGGTGGTTTTGCACTTATTTGTGAGTTGGGAGGAATTGACCCAAATTACAACAAAGCAAAGCCTACAAACTGTGAATGCGATGCATCTCAAAGGACGCATTTGTGCCCGGAGTTGTGCATTCCCCCCGTAAACCGACGAAGTTGTTTGGAGGGTGAAGATTGCCGTGCGATGGGTAGGGAAAAAGGAAAATTACCTAAGGATAAGGCGGCTAATGAAAAGCGTGGAATTATTTTAATGTGGGTTTCATTACACCTTCAGAAATTACCTGTCTGAGGGATATTCTCGTGCCCAAATAGAGAAATTGAGTTTTCACTTTAGCCACGCGACGCATGTGCGACAAGAAGTTCAAGTTCCTCTTTTCTCATTGAGAGAAGCCAAACTAGCTTGTGTAGCACACGAACGCCTTGTCCCGTTTTGTCTCAGTGGTTAAGACAAGTAACTAGAGAGTGTCCTATAACCCCATTCTAAAACACAGAGGTTTTGGAGACTCGGGAATCAGGGCAGATACAAACGCACGAGCAATTTCTCTTCCCCTCTCCCCTGGTTTGTTTCACTTGGTGACGCCCACTGGAAAAAAAGGTGGGAGGTGTACTCCTGCTCCTGGTGTCACCTCGTAACTATCAACATTCTTGTAACAAATCGCGAATTATTATAAGTGGGGAAATTTTACCATAAAATGGTGATAGGCAATTAATTTGCACATCTATGTTGTTTCCTACCCATCATAAGCACAACCTGCCAAAAGGTTTTTGGGACTATGATACTGCCCCTCCGCCAGCAACGAGTGCTGATTGTTTTAAACCACGTTGGATACTGTTGTTAAAGCTGTAGCCTATTTTAGAAAAATTGGAATGCTTTGACTGTCTATTTAACTGCTCATTTCAGTTACGCGGGTACTGAGGGCTCCATGCTTGTGCTTCTGCCTAACGACCCGGCCTCCGGGGCGTGCCAGTAGCCCTCAAGCCCTACTGTTCACATTCTGCCCGAGCGGTATGCCTCCTCGCGTTTTCAGGGAAGTCTCAGACTGCTGCACTAGATTTTATGATCATGAAAGTAAATAAATGCTCGCAAACATGTATTTGGTGCACGGCTATACCAATGCAAAGCACTTGTAGCGCTCTGGGCCCTGCTTAAAGACGAAAGAAGTCATAATCTTCAGAGGTCAATCGCGTCGGTACCGTACTGTGGGATTAAAACCTATCTTATTAACGGGCAACACCTTAAATAACCAACTCAATGTCATCCCCATGCGCTATTAACTGCAAATTGCGGAAGAAGTAAAGAGGTGGAATGAGCACTCATCAATATTTAATCCACAGAAATTTACAAAACAGCCTGCCCAAACCTTTTAGATACTAGTTGTAAATTTTTCTTCTACATTCGTGTAGCTTATTACGGTTTCTTGGATGAGTCTGTACCATCCCAGGTCCTTCCTGCAGACAAAAGGTGTAATCCCCAAAGGGGACTTAGAGGGACTATTGACATGGTTTGGAGGCCATACTGTCCAGTAGAAGCCAAATAGCGCAGACTTGACCTCCCACGGAACCACAACGGCCGTTGAACTAGCACTTAGAGTATTACACAGCAATTCGTCACCTCTTTTGAGATGCGTCTCCCACGCACTCCTTGGTCAACCTTCCGCATCGGACATCACGACGTAGTCGGTGTTGTGAGGAGAAACATCCACGAACCAAACGCACCAGACTGTAACTTCACTGATCCCTCTTGACAACTCCATTGCATCTGGAGTTTCATCGAGTTAGGAAACTATCCTGGAGGAAGGGAGAGTGTACTGAATCACTGACTGACATCCAGAGTTATTTCATAATAGACGGAGCTTAAAGCAGTATCGTGGGGATGAAATTTTGCGCCTGTTCCTCCTTGTCACTTTGCTCTCACTTCAATGCTGTCCAGTCACATCCATCTGGGTTCTATCCACCTCGTAGAGAGGCGGAGGAGGTATTGAGAGTTCACTCAGTTGACAACTTCATGCAGGCACCGCAGACAACTCTGTAGCGAACTTTTTCAGATGGTCCACGGGCGACATCGCTAACTGCAGTTGTTAATAGCACTCCTGCAGAACACGGAACTGGGATGGTTGGGGAAGGTGGACGTCAATTCCATTTCTTCTATTAGGGAGTGTGAGACATTCTCCCAGCCACAGTTACATGCCCTTCATCCATCCTTTAGGATGGAGTTCGCTTGCCGCTGCCACCAATGGAGCGCCCACAGATTTGCCTAATGTCAAAAGAAGTCATTATGCTAAGACAGTAAATGGGATGTCGACGTAAAGGAGGGTTGAGGGGCTACTGGTATGGTCTGGAGACTGTACCGTTCAGAGGAACTCTAATGGAGGAGTCGATAGTGCCACCTTGAAAAAAAGGAAGAGTGGTCCAAACGATCGAGGTGTTAGAGACTCAGGAGGATTGAGGGATGTGTTCCAAAGTGAATGCCGGCTCCTCGAAACCCCTGCTGTAAATTATTGAGTAGATTGTAATGCTCTTCCACGTAGTAATGTTGGCGTGCTACACTCTTCTTTGTCCACACTGCTACAGTGCTGAGGTGGGTTTGCACCAGACAATGGATATTGGACACAGCCCACTATGCACGAGGGCCATCAACGAGTAAAAAGTGATGCGCCCTCAAACGAGAATAATAAAGCACACAGCGGTGATTCAGTGGTACAACTGTGCGGACAACTGTGCTGTCCACCAGACAAAAGTACAATTCGACAACGATTTCCTCTTGAAGGGCGCCAACAACTGTGCAAAGATGCGGTGCTGGAAGTTGGCGATAACCGCCAACTAGCATTTCTGCGGAATATACGATTCCACCTGTCTGTGTGAGTGAAAGTGTGTGCAGCCCCCACAAGGGGGGATCTGTAAATAGGTTCACCCCAAAATAACGCCACCTCACACAGAGGAATGAGTGTGATGAAGCATTGAGTGAGGAGCATGGAGAGTAGATAAAACTTGTTTACCATTCAGGCAAACAGTTAAATGAGTGGAAGTTAGGTGGTAGAGCCGTGAATTTGTAAAGCCGCAGTTGTGCCATTTACGTGTTAGTTGATGTAACGGAAGTAATGAAGGATATGTAGCAAACAATGTGGTGTATTCACTGTTTGCGTATACCTAGAATTGCAACATTCTACTACTGTTCTTATTAGAATGTAATTTCTTGATTTTTTGTGTTTCCCTTCGCTTAAATTTTGCGGGCCTCTGAGGCGCCCCCTTTTTGCCTCCACCGGACGTCCTGGCTGCCGAGCCGTCAGTCACCCACTTCCCAGTCCTTCTCTACGTTAGCAGTACGTATCCTACTTTGGTATTATTACTTCTTTAGTCTTCTAAAACTGATTATGTATTGTTGACCTCCAGAAGAACTGGTGCGGGGAGGACTGCCCGCATGGCCTAGAGGCCAGTCCGCCCGGCGGACGTACAGTGGCGGCGCCCTAATTATCCCGTTACCAAAACCAAGAACTAAACAAACAATTAAGGGGTCACGCTAGAGGTTTCACTACTTGTTTAAAGCATAACCCACCCAGTCTCCTGACGATAACTTGACTAACTCTAAGGCACAGTGATTAATCATGGGTTAAAGTGTCTCCACAACATAAAGCAATTCGTGGATTATAAATCAAAGTGTAGAGCTAAAACACACACATGATTCAGCACTTTTGCAGCTTTTGAAACCACTTGCTGAGGCGATATCACTCATTTTTTTATTGCTCGAAGTCAGGAGTGGGAAAAAAACCAATTTTGCCACCTGAAATTGAAATCCTACCGACTTAAATGCATAAAATTTACCTTTCGCAGTGGTCACCATTCCCCATTCCTTGAAGAGCAATCAGTTAACTTAGAGTAAATTGCACAAAGTCTTCACTAGTTGCCCCAAAATATGCGCCGCACGGCCATTGAAGTAGAATAAGGCAGCGTTTGACTTTAACCGATGTGAGCAGGTGCCCTACTCCCATCCATAGGCTTGAATTGTTTTGTCAGAAAAGGGCTGGATTATGTTGAAAAATCTTGGGCTTTCTAGAGCCTCTAATCTTGCCTGAGGATAAAAGAAGTCACAATACTTGGACCGATCGTATGTCGCCAACGTATAGAGGGGCTGGAGGGGCGCTACTCACCTCGTCTGGAGGCCACGTCGCCCAGCGGAGGTACAAAGGCGGGACCTCAAGTACCCGGAAACCAAAACGAAGGGTTAGACAATAACCAAAGTATTACTGGTTTCATTAAGGTAATTTTTTAAATTTTTCATGTGGAATTGATTAAATTACGTAAAATTACGCGTGTAAAGTGGTACAGTCTCGATGAGATAAAAGGAATTTCGTGCAGCACAGAATTTTGAACTCTGCGTAGAGGAGAGATGACTAGGCCGTGTGTGTATGTGCATCAATTCGTGCGCAAAGAGGAGCCTCGTCGAAGCGTCATTTTGAAGTTGACCTAGTTCGCAACCTCTTGCTAGGTTAGTCAGCGTCTACCAACTAGGTCTCCAATTTCTCATACATACACACACATGCACACACACGCAAACGACAGGCACATCTGATTCAAAAAAGAGCTTCGCATGCAGGCTGGCGGCGTCTTCACTCGCAAGCTTAGAAAAAAAATGTGAAAAAAGGAACTTTCATTACAGGATAATCCCTTTACCCATTTTGTGTGTCTGGTGAAATTTTACCAGCAAGCCCACCAATGAGAGTTGTTTTACGCAACTCCACCCCCACCGGCTTTTTGTCAGTTAAGATCAATATTTTATCGACCGGTTTTTAGGTTGAGTGGCTTTCGGCGCCGCAGCTGAATCATACTCCTAATTTCACCAATCTGGAAATTAATGCCTCTAGTCTGATTATAAACCGATTATTTGATTGTGCACAGATTAATCAAAAGGACCAAACGCGTAATTTGTCGAATTGCCTACGCAAGTACACTTTTCAATTATTGAAATTAAACCTTTTCCCTTAGTCATTTACCATACCTATCTAGTTCATTAGGTAGACTTGGAATAAGAACAGTAACAACTGGAAATACTTGTTCTTTTTTTTCCTCCAAAATTACCTTCACTTTAACCTTTACCAAAATGAATTTGAAGCGATAAAACTACCCTATCACGCCATTTTCTGTGAAAGTTGGACTACATAATCAACATTAGTTGTTCACCAAACGCTCCCAGTTTATCATAAATTTATACATAGATTCTTATTTTGTCTTGTTCCCGGGCATTTTGCTACCTGACATTTCTCTCTACAACTCGGTTATAAATTCAAGCATACATACATAGAAGAAGAGAAAGTGTATGGCGAATTTGGAGTAAAACAGGCAGTTTTGTAGTTGACAAAAATTGTCAACATTAAGTTATCGCGTATAACCCATTTTCCAGAACTGTTTGGAGTGTTCACAAAAAACGAGTAAAAATTGGTTGAGTCTTTCCTGAAGACGAAAAAAGTCATAATACTAGGAAAGGAAATGCATTGCCGACGCACAGAAAAGCTGGGAAGAAGGCCACGTCGGCCACCGGAAGCATGATCTCGGAGCCTTAAGTATTCGCATAACCAAAATGCAGCGTCAAACAAGCAATCAAAGTATTTCAGCTATTTCATGTGTGTCAGAAAGAATATTGCAGGTTGTTTGTTGATGCGTAGCACCCACGACTTCCCTGAAGACAAAGGAATACCTAACATCCGAACGGACTATGCATTACCGATCTGCAGAAGGGCTTGGGGCGCTACTCCCATGGCCCAGAGGCCATGCCACCCAGCAGAGGTACAAATGGCGGTGCCTTAAGTGATCCTTTACCAAAACCGTGATTTATCTAAGCAAGTAAAGCACAACTGTTATCGCAGTACCGATTACATCGATCATCGAAAGTCATAACGTCTTTATTTAAAGGTGCCAAAGGTCACAGAATGCTCATGAACACCAATGCTGGTAAATTAATAACAATAATTTCTCAACGAAATCGAAAGGGGAATATTTTATTAATAAGTGGTTATGAGGCAACTTACGAGTCCACTCTAATCCCTACCTGTGCCTGTGTTCATGTCACTGCAGCGCGAGGTTTCGCATGGAATACCGTGTGCTATTTAGTGCGTCCACCGACCATGTTTAGCTGGTCCTAATGGGTATAAATATCCCATCCAACATATTGCATTGGACGGATACTATACTACTGATTTGAGTAATATCAACTTTCGACAGTTCGTCTAGTGTCGCATAGCAGATCACGATGATTCGCCTTTTTAACCGCAAGGGCTTACACTACCAGCTTCTCCTTAGCTTCTCCCTCCGTTAATAAGGTTAACGCCAGACCGGCATGTCTCGTGACCTCGGGGAAAACTCAGACAAAGCAACATAATATAACGATGTCCATAAGCTGGAGGTAGTGGCTGTCCCGCTTGTTTGTAAATATTTCATTTCACTTCGTTAGCTTCTTCTTCATCTTCCATTTTCGAAAGCGTAATTAAGTGGGATGTAAATAACCTTGTGAGTATCTTAAATACGGAAATGTGAGCGTTGTTAAGACTCTATGAGAAAACCAACAATTGGACTTATTCAAGTCGGATCGAATTGTCCAAGATGCAGTCATAAAGTCTTCAAAGCGAAGAAACGGTTGGTCTTATTCATGCTCCTTCAAGGGGGGTGATCCTGTCGGCTGTTCTTTCCGCATAGTTTTTTTATTCCGAGGAATCCAATAAGTTGATAAGGGTGGTGACTGCTGTGGCCAAATTTTTAGCAAAAGGTAGCTTCATTTTTGGACGGAAGACTTATATGAAATGGAGGTTAATTCGCAATTCTTAGCAAGGTTAATTCTCTCTTTTCCAAGAACATGGAAAGTGGGAAAGGGGTAAAAACGCGAGCTCACTTAGAGCCAGCGCAGAATGAGCGCGACTAAGATAACGATCAGCTCGAGAGGTTTCAGCGTTTAAGCCAATTCTTGAAGTGGCTGTGTATTATAGAAAACGGATTATCTACGCATGAATGGGGCATTATGAGAAAGATCTAGTGAGGAGACCTTGGCGACTAGTTGGCTTCTTACGAATGGGCGTACGTTCATTTCCATGCCGACGTGGGATCACTGCAGCTATCCCTGATTTTGTGTGTCCCTTTATCAATACGCTAGCACTGCAGCGCTGCAGCGCTGCAAGACTTCCCTGAGGTCCAAAGGAGACATGATACTTGGACCGAATATGCGCTATCGACGTGCAGAAGGGATTAGGACTACTGACATGTTCCGGATGCCGGTTCACGCAACGGAACCTCCAAATGGCCTATTGACAGACGCGAGAGTTAAAAAAAAAAACAGTTAACTTATTAGAGACTATTCTTAAACAAAAACGCTCCCAAAGACGTAAAAAAGGTGCAATGGAACTTTGTTGTCTGTAAACTTGATGGGAAATTTAATAATAGGAAAAATTTTGCAGAAATTACAACTATATTGCAATTACCGAGAAGTTCGACAAATACGGACTTTGGTAATTCTTTTACCTTAAAAATGTAAAATAAGTGTGGATTTTGAAATGCTCACAGATTAGGACTCTAACTAGCCTGTAGACTCAAATCCAAAAATGGCCTTCAGAGGAGGGGGTGAGATCAGGAGAAACCCATTGTATGCATTACTTTTAGGGGAAACAGAAATTTTACGCCACTTATTATTCACAAAGACACTGGTATTTGTGGCTCTGAGGTTCTATGTATGCGTGACGGTATGGAAATTCTTCGCAGAATTGTATTTTATAACTGCTATTAGTTCGGGCTTACGTACAACAGAGTGGGAATGTAAAAGAAAATGTACGTGTGTGATGCAGACAGATTGACTTCTCACATAAATTTAACACATATACAAAATAAGGTATGCATTATGTTCCAGTCAGTATGTGGTGGGTTGATGTCTGGCTGTGCGTGCTCTTCAGCCCCCACGGGTTGTACACTCATTATGCACTGTTACCTTCGGACAGGCTAACACCCTCCCAGCTCTACTATAAGTTAATAATATGCAATAGCAATGGCACGACCTTGGATTATCATGACTTTAGGGGAGACTTGGGGTGTTACATTGGTGGCCGAGGCAGGCGAGGCCGACCCAAAAGGACAGCTATCCTAATTTTTGAGGGTAATTGGTGCGTATATGCGAACCTGCAAGGACTTCTAACGGAAAGTTAGAAAAGTTTAGTAAGCACCATTCCTGATTTACGGGTGGTTTTTGAGGTACCGACTACGCGGTGGTAACTGACACAAATGCGCGACGATAAGCATTGAAAGGAATGACTCTTAGAAGAAGAGAGCGAAGGTTGTATCTTCATCCTTTGATATGTCTCTGGACCATAAAAATAGTCTCATAGTACTTCACCACATTATTAAAGCATATTTTTTCATACTGCTATAGCCTTATACGACTTGGGAGAAGCCTTAGGACCCTAGAATTACCACCAAGGGCCGCATTAAAAACATCAGCACAAACTATATAATTCGACCAAATTTTAGTAGATTTCAGAGTTAGTAACTCTTCCAACGTTATAAATCCTACTAATAGGATTTTTAATACCATACTATACTACCATACTATACCATACCATACATTTAACTTCTTGGAAAATTACCTGCATTGTCAAAGAGATCCCGTAAATTTTGCGATTGGGGAAATCTTACAATTCCTTGGATAGAAGTCCTTAAAGGTTTTGCACCTATTTAATTAAAATACCCTTTCATGAATTTCGTTTCAATTCGTTATTATAGATTGTGAGTGCCAGGCGTGCGCACTACGGAAAATGAAAGATGAATGATTCTGTCTGTCGCTGTGTGGAGTCGGTGAGTCGGTCAGATGTTACTTACGCAGCCTAGCAGGAATGTGATGAATTTTCTATTCCCAACAAAATTCTCTTGTCTGGAAGTTTCGAACGCCTCTCTAAGCAGTGCAAAAGTGCCTTGAGAAAGTTGACTGAAGTGTCTGAAGTAAGATTCTTGTTAACATGTGATGCTTAGAATGATGAGAAGAAACAGGACAAGAATGCCCTGAACTTTATGCCTTTTGCGAAGACGACTTTCGATTTTCAAAGTGAAGCGCATCAATTACTAAGCTGGTTGAAGTTAGCTGCAAAGACTATTCAAAGTAAACCTTTTGATTGTCGAAGTGTTCAGTCGCTGTTGATGTATAAGGTACATGTTTCAAATAATACTTATATCATAAATATTGTTCATGATTGAATGGGGCTGTCTACTATCCATAACGTCATTCTACTTTACAGTATTTGTGCTCTGAAATTTTAGGCATACATTGGTGTTTTTGCTTCACTGGAGTCAAGTTATCGTCATGTGCATTTATTTACGGAAAAATTGTTACTTTTTGCGCGTCCTGTCTCGTTGTCTGTGACGTTACCATTTCTGGGCGAAACCACTCCGAAATCTGCATTTTCTAATTCACCTTTCTCCCCTCGCACTGTGCTAGCAAAAGACTATGGCCAACTTCTGAAACAGGTGGATATTTTCTGGGTTAAGGTTGGGTCACAGCTCCATTCCTTCGGTGAAAATATTGATGAACCGGTTGTTTTATCAAGTGAGTTGATATTTCCCCTTTAAGTTGACAGCAAGAAATTTTGAAACTGGTTGTTCCCATATTTCGGTATTTGCGCTTTCATTACTTTGTTTTGTAGCTCTGCAAAATGAGATCTCAGTACTCTCTGGGTTGATTGCTGAGGTAAATGAAAGTAAGTCTTGTTTATTTGTGTGAAAATCATGATAAGTACCTCATTATTTACTAAGTAATTTCATAGTGTCCATTTGAATTTGTCGCACGCTTTCGTCGCGGTTTGCGTGTGAAGCGCACTTTTTCCATAAAGTGTTAAGGGTTAACGACTTATCTTGGTTTTGAGTTTCTTCTCACTCCTCGATCCTCACCATGTTTTATTTCTGCTAGTTCCCATTCTTTAGAATGTCGTTTTAGCTGAATCGTTGTTTGGAATATTAAGCTCACCATTTATTACTTCGCTTTGTTGAAAGTGTCTTTTTAAATATCACAAATATTACTTTAGCGTCTAAGCTATCATGACATCCTGACATCATAATAAGTCGACAAGACGACCCTATTGATTTGTATGTTAGTCATTAACTTATCAACCCAGTTTACCATATAAATCCACATTATAATTTAATATAATCTAATATTGGCGTCCCCAGATGATATAGCCGATACCTGGTTGTCTTTGGAATTATAAAAACAAATTTTAAACTAAAAATTATATTTTCCTCACGCACCATATTGGCACAATTTAGAGCCTTGGAATGATATTCTCAGACAAGACCAACACTTTTGATATTGATTAGTTACTTTGAAATCGAAACATGTCTAAATGCGCAACAACAGGCCCAGATTGTGCGGTTATTGGATTGCAGTTGCAATTTTTATTTAGAGACGTTTATCTAGAATTTTTTGAAAACTTACACTACTCCATGTAAAACTGCTTGGTTATCAGTTTGGTGCGTTTGTGATACTCACACTGAGGCGTAAATATTTGCGCATTGAATTATTCATATTTTGTGATTTTTTTCCCCAATTGGGCAAGTCGACGCAGTCAGGCCAGTCGATTTAAGTGAGATCTAAATGTAATTTGGGTTCACGTTGCAGTGAAGCTTCTAGACATTTACTACTACTCATTGTTATTAAACTCATGAGAGCAGAGGTATCTAACGCCTTTAATGTTTTGTTTAGATATATTTAATTGAGATTGCGTTCCAAGTAATTTGTTGTCATGACGATAGGAAATTGGGCATCCACGGTGATACCACACAATTGGTCAGTGTACGTATCGCCTCAAATATGCATATTAGTTTTGCTTAACGATGCATAACACTGGTGATTTCCGAGGAAACGTATTGTTGTCTTGGTGTCTAGATAGCTCTCCTTTCTCCTTCAGCTTCACCCTAATTTTGGTAGTTTGATGTCTAGTGTCATACTTCTTACTAAAGGCTGTAAGAAGATTGTAATTTTTCCATTTTAACCCTTATTTTGTCTTTTCGTTGTATTAATTCCTATCACATTAGGTTGTGTGTGTTTCCTCTTATTCTACCTCGCTGGTTGACTTATCAAAAATTCTTGTCTTGATTGTTTATTATTTAAATGCTCAAGTATTGAGTTGTCGCTTATCCTACTGCACATTATATTACTCATTGTTGTCAGTTGAGATCGATAACTTTTTTGTGTGCTTGTATCATTCTTAATAATTTATGTGTCTGCAATTTGCATAGGGGTTTCGTGACTGTCGGTTTGTGGCTATAAATGTAATAATTCAATTCGGCATCGGTTTAGCACAATGAAATGCGATTAAGTGCTTTTAATTAATGAGGCACTTGCATCCGTGTCTCTGTTGTGTTTCCTCAATATCATCTTTCTTTCGTGCGCCAAGCTTAGGCATTTACTTACGATTACCATCTACCGTATTCCTTCTTCCCAGAAAAGTACCTCACAGATCATTGCGTATTTACCCCACCAGTTCGCAGCATAATGTGCATTTATTCGATATACACTCTCAAGACATTTAAGATCAAAAAGCTTAGTCATTTAGGGCAATCCTTATTTGCTACCAATTTCATTGCACACCTGGTTGGTCTGGATGTTACTTGCTGTTTTGATTATCCTTTTTCTAGAAACTGACAATATATATCACCTTACGAGGCAGAGCTTTGCAGGGTCGATTGACAAGGTAGCCTACAAAGCGCTGAAGGTGAGCATCGGGTTTTTTTTTAAATTTGCATGTTCACTTTGATTCACCTGTAACAATCCCAGCGGCTGTGTTTGTTCATACACGACGTCTGCAAACAGTGCTTTGACTCTCAATAATGTACTGCTTTCTTCATTCCTTCCAAGTGGCTACACAATATGTTTCCTTCATTCTCGTTTTTGGCTTGATGTTGAACTTGCTATCTTGTGCAAAGCACAAGGATTACTATGCTATGTCTTGCTGCTTCGGCTTTCAATTCTTTAAAGCTCAATCCTACCTTCTTATTCAGACCTTGCTAAATTTAGTCCTGATTGATGCTTCTGGTTGTGCTGATCTCAGACACGATTCCTCGGTGCACTGGTCTATCCTCACGACTCAGTGTACTTTAGTTTTCGTGTCCCATAAATGAAGGCATGACTTGCCTCTTCCACAGGAAGGTTGGTGTGATGAGTCATTGAGTTGTACATTGCTTATTTTTTGTCTTGCCCCAGGCTACGGTTGGATTCGCTTCCCTTTCCAGACACCAAGCTCACGAATATTCTGCATTTACTTTTTTAAGGGGAGAGTGTGCAGCATTTTCACATTTAATTTTCTCGCGGTAAATTGCGTCAACTAAGATTCGTTTGAATGAACCCATAATTTTCACCTTTTCTGGTTATTCGTGATTAGCACACTTCGTCTCACCCATTTTGGGGCACAATTTACTCGAGGATCAATGATCGTTCTGTTTAGTAATGATTCAAGTGTCTTTTATCACGTTGCCTATATGGTAAACTGCGGATTTTCTGACTATGCAAAGGGCGTTTATTCTGTAAACTATTTCCTTGTTTAGATTTCCTATACTCTGAAAGTTAGTGACTTCTAAAACTATTTTTTTTGTTTGGAATATTTACCGAATTGCAAAGCTATTTTTGCCGTCTTAGTTACCCTTTTGTGCTGCATTCTAAAAATAAGTGTGAAGAAAACGAATCTGTGGGATTATTTGGGATATTTTTCAGTGCAGTGTTGGGTCGAGCAACCACCAGATCCGAATGACGTGTTTGAAGAGTGTTATTTTTATTTCAGTGGTGTATACACAAGTCCTGCTTAACTAAAAATTTCCGATCGAGGAACGATGACATTTCCCTTTGATGATAGCACTTCAGATCTAAACATTTCACTGCTCCCGGAAGGAAATTAGGCTAACCTTCTTCCAGCATCTAGCCCTCTCATGATGACCTCGTTTAATCACTAGGGTCGAATCAAGGCTGCTGATTCATTCTCCCTTACGGTTTCAGTACCGATCCTCTTTGCCCTAAATCCCCTCCTTTGGCCTAGTCTTGGTGACCTTCCATGCATGTAGCCTTTAGTTTCAAGTTTACGTAACCTAAACGCTTAAACTTACGGACTTTTATTTGAAAGATTGTATGATCGACTTACATTTCGCTAAGTTGAAAGGCTACTCCATTTTGTCCTACGTATGGACAGCACACTTGCTTTATTTCGAAGGCATTTAGCCCTCAGTTACTCCACCCCTTGACTTTTAACATTTTGCACCTTAGCAAACTAACTACGAGTCTGACAGTGTAAATTTGTGCATATTTGCAATGGTTTCTTGTGTTTTAGTTTCAGGGTTAATGTGAATTATTTCCTGCGGCAGCTGGTCAACCTCGACTTTTTCATGCCTTAGCGAAATCGCTCATATAGTTAATCGCTCCACCCATAATTAGGTGACTTATGTGGCTCTTAATTTGCGTTCTTTAAGTAAAGGGTTGGCGCAAATTGTCAGACAAAAGTTTGCAGACAAATGTGCGATGTTTTAGTGCTGTAGGTTTAGAATGTATGACGTGCATTTATCACATGTAAAGCGGCAGTGCTGTATCAGGAGCGAATTGTTTGTCTCAAATACCGTTTTGTGGGGGCGTCATTGTTTTCTGCTAACTTGCTTTTTGTGTACCACATTCTGAAGTTGTTAACATAGTTTCTTTTGTGGGTATGTTGTTTTAGCCAAAAGTGCCTCATTTGCCATCCCCTGTATTCAAGAGTAAACAAAGGGCACCATAGGGGTCTATCACAAGAGTTTTGTTTTTGTTAGTTTTTGTGTCATATTCCGCCACTCAGTTTGGGTGTGTTCTCCTATTTTCAAAGAGCTATCGTGGTTATCTTTCTTTTCTACTCCGGGTGAATTTCATGAGAAAATAGTGTTCTTATTTATCTCCTGTAGATTGAGCATTTGAAGCTGAAAAAAATTTCCCGACGTCTATACAATGTTCAGGAGTTGATGAGTCACTTGGAAGGCCGGATGGCGGAAAAACCCTGGTTCGACCTCTCCTCTGGGAGGGCTGACATCGTGGCGTCTTCTGTAGGCATGGTATCTGATCTAATTGGCGGTGTTCACGAGGTCTGGCTGAAACAGCTGGAACTGCGGGAGATTTCCAAACTAACCTTTACCAAACATGACCCTAATCAGGTGCGCCTTTGATTAAAATATGGACACTGCTGATTTGTTTTGATAAATTACAAGATGATAGGGATAAATTCAGGAATTTTAGCGAAAGTGTAATGCTGCACAAGCCTAAACCTGCATTTTTATTCAAAATGTGGCAGCGAATAAATCTTTGACCTAACCTTTATGCGCTAGTGGTAGCTTAGCTGTATGCGATGCCTTTTTATTTCCATGCATACATAAATTTTATGGGATGTAAACTCAAGAAAGTTGTTTTGATTTTTGAGGTTTGAAGCAACATTCTACTTTTCATAGGTGCAGTTCTTTTCACTTTGTATTTTGCGTGAAGTAAAATTAGGTGTATTGGCGCTTCCAAAACAAAGTTTTATTGTGTAACCGACCAAACAACAGGGATGGTTCGGGATGATGGTAATCTGTTTACTTACGGTGATAATAATGTATCGTATTAATTATTTGGAAAGCTGACTGTCAATCTTGATGCTTAAATTAGACCAGATATGGGGAGGAAGTGAGTTGAAACTAAGGTGAATACTGACGGTGTGAATCAAAACCTGTTATGAAAACGGATTTTTCTGCATTAGGCATGAGTAGTAGTAAGGCTTGAGAGGTTGGAAGTAAGTCACTAAGGTATGGAGCTTAATGAGCAACCACATCAATGCCTTTCTGATGCGTATGAGAGTAATTGATTCATTTGGCGTTTTAGCCATTGTCAGTGGAGTTCAGTCCTCCAAAGCCCAATTCTAATTCGCTCTCCCTGTCCATCTCCTCCAACGTGGTTCCGCACGCCGGTAGTAGCGTTAGCGGACTGTGTTGCTGGCGGCAGCGTCTGCGAACCTCAAAGTCAGATTCATGTCTTCAATGCATGCAATGGCTGAGGCATCCCGAAAGAGGCTACCACCACTGCAGCCACTTCACAGTGAGTGGAGAGTCGGGTTTTGTCAGCGACTCGGATAATGCTTGGCGTCAACGTCACTGTTACCAACGCCTCCACAAACCGTCTGTTTGTCTCGTTGAACAACGCATTCGACATCACTTTCGTTCTCTCTCTTTCCCTCTTCCCATCAATTTATTACGATGCCTTCTCATCTCGCAGCCTTCTGAATCCTCCAAAGGTAATGTACGCACTAGCTCTAGCGCAAATTTAGCTTTATATTTGAAGTGAATTTGCCGCTAGTGTGGAATCCCCGGACCATATCAGTTGTATGTGCTTGTGTATGGCTCTTCTCTTGTGGCGAAACAAGGTGTTCTAGTGGTACTCTATTTGAGGTTATTAATGTGATATTTGGATTGACAATCTATGAGGCAAACAGCATGATTGGAACCAACGAAGTAAGGTCGACCAGCCCCTTCAAACACTAGTTTATGCGTACAATTTACCACCTTTGTTACGCTGGCAGACCTTCCATCTCGGTCTGTGAGTGTGGTTTTACGGAATAATTTGTCCTTGAATACCCTAATGAAGTACCGTAGATAATTTTAATAGTACTCCATGGCTTAAGTCTGGCAGACGGGTGTTTTTGTGAAATGACTGCAGTTTTATCGATATTTACACAGCTTTGGTTGGTGGTGGACAATGTTTTGGTGAGGTCTGTCACGATATGCTGTCCATGGCATAGCATGGGTAACGTGCGGTCTTATGCGCACGTGCGATCGGTGATAAAACTTTTCACTTTAGTACCACAAGTATTTTGGCTTTAAATGAGTACTGTTTTTGTTGTATCATTATCTGTGGAACATTTATTGCCCTTTTTTATTTAGTGCATCCTTTTTCCATTGTATCCGAAGTTGTATCTCTAATCCGTAAGACACGTTCACTGCCTGACTATATTGCCTCTTTTATGCCCCTGGGATTGTGTTCTAAGGATCCATAGTCATTTGCTACCTTTTTGCCTCGGATGTTGCTAGTACTTTTAACTGGTCGAATGCTATGGGAAATGTGCATAATTCACTTATTCCCACACACAGAGCGTTCCTTCCAACTGTGGAGCCAGGCGCTTATATGAGCAGCAGGCCGAACACGCGCATCGAACCCTGTCTTTTCCCAAATGTGGCGTGCACGAGAAATATCCATTGATTCATCTATCTGTGTGTGTGTGTGTGTATGTGTGTGATTACTACGAATGTGCGTGTGGCGAACGCGTGGTCCTGGATACAGCCTTTCCGCCTTTGCTAGGCTCTTCAGCTTGCTTACGAGTGTTATGCGCCATTCTCCGAGTGTCTTGTCAATAGTTATTTCGCCAAGGCAGGAGGTAGCGGTGAATTCGACTGAAGGTTGAAATCGGTTTTGGAAATCACACAAATGCGTTTGACAGTTTGATCAATCGTTTTTCCATCATCATTGCCAGGTTTATGTCCTTGACACAGCTATGCTGTGCTAGGTTCATTAGAGCAATAATTTAACTCTGCATTTGTGGAATTATAAACATAAGCTAGAATTAAGGGTAAAACGGTTTCACTATGCCATTTCAAATGTTCAAGCTTTGTGATACCAGTGTGCATGCAGAATGTATCAACTTATGATTTCGTCCTCCAGTGGAGGCTTTTTAAAGGAAGACAAAAAGTAACGGTTTCCTAGTCGTCTACTGCATGTCCCGTTCAGTGCGGCACTTTTTTTGTGTTTAGAAAACCCATCTTGGTGAAAGGCAGACGAACAGAGTAAGTATGGGACTATTTAGGAGTCACAATTTCTCTTATCGTCTTCTGATCCGTTTACACCACTTGCAGTCCACGTAGGCACACTTCATATTATTACACGATTCCCAAGCCTCCACCATAACGATTAGTATCCCACTGCTATTTTTCTGCAGGCTGACAAATTTAAAAGTTGATTTTTGTTTGCTAGCGGTGTATGTGGAAACAGCACCTAGCACACTGTCAAGGCAAAAAACAGACAGTGGATACTGCGTTCAAAGTTCACACATCTATTTCACTAAATGCATTCAAGGTAGTTGGAAAAAAAGGGAGTTTTTTTGTTGAAACGTGGGTAAGTGACTAACAATCGGTGCAGTTTGGCAATTGACTTATTGATAAAATTATTTTTGTGGCAGTTTCACATTACAAGCCAGCTTAGCCACCACACACTTAATCATTAAATTACTGTTGTGGTCATGTTCGAGTGCGTAATAGCCTGTCCCATTTATCGCTTTTTCCCATTACTGTAAGGGAGGTTAAATTAGTTACGACACCCTCCCTGCTGTGAATGTTGGTGGGAGTCAGGCGTTACCCACGAAGGTGAGACATGCAGTGACTTTCTTTGAAACCCTTCATATGGCTACTGGTTAAACCTTTCATTGTCTACAATCCTTCATGCTGTTGGCCTTTTAGACGAATCAAGCACAAGCAATCAAGTGAGTTCTTTCGAGGAGTGCACTCCAATCAAGGCTAAACAGTGCCACCATGCCTCGGAGAACCCAGCATTTATCTTCCCACATCATTCCCCTTTAAATTCAGGGATGTCACATTCCCTGATTGCTGTCAGTCCAATCCACTCCTCGACTTGGAAGTATTCTCAAGAGTAGGTTTTTCGGATTTATCGACTGAGCGATCGTTCCTTGTTTTAGGAGTCGAGTTGCTTTTACTTCCCAATCTATACCAATGACATTGAGTCTACGATATAATATCGAAAATTATGCACACAATGACTTATTGTTACTCTTTAAAAACGTTGTGTGTAGATATTTACAAACCAAGGTTACTGCGACATTCATACACGCATAAAGAATTCACCTTGTTTGTCAGTCACGTCGAACTGCATTTATTATTATTTGCAGGACATGGCATTTTGTGGACGGATAAAGAGGACCTGTTGATATGTTTAAGTATGCTTCCATGCCCGTGCATGTTTCGTACTGTCACCTTTAAGGTTATCTATATTTCGGGTAGACCCTAAAACTGAAGGTCAGAGTGACTATATGCATTTGTGCTTGCGTTCGTGAACAACGTGTTAGAAACTTAGTCTAGCAAGGCAGATTCTTACGTATTCGTCCACTTGAAGCAATGTTTTACTTCGTGGGCGAGCTAAGAGCAATGGCGTCAATTAATTAGACACCACCTGCAAGCAGTCCTGAAACGCAAGTAGCCCTTTTACCCTTGCAAACTTCTGGATCGAATGTGTGTTTTCATCCTTGGCTTTGTAAAACCGCGTTGTGTTGAGGCCCCGGTTTCATTGTACTAATTAAAGGAAGTGGTAATTTAAGTGCTTCCTAAATACATCCGTATCTCATGCCATTTGTGTCAAGTCACGCGTCACTCCAACAATGTGTTCTTTTCATGTAGTTGTGACTTAGCGGCGGACGAAAGACCGGGAGCACCGGGTGGCTCAGTTCTTGACAAAACACGATGTCAATCCTCGCTGCAGGCCTGCGACTCCACCTTTTCGATACTCTCCTCTACCAACGTCGACGAGGATGACAACGATAACGATGTGGAAAATGTTGCTGTTGGAGTGGCGTTGGCGGGAGCGGAGGAGGAGGACTCTGCCCTCATCACTTCACCCACTTCTTACTCCTTTCCTCATGATAGTGACAATGAGGTCGATGAAAAGGAGGATGACGATCTCTTTGCACATCTCTACCTTGGGAACGAATATAAGGGACGGCGCTGCTTGTCTAGGAGTCTTCCCAGTCTCTTGGGTTAGTTTTTCCTAAGTAACCAAATCCCATAGTTGGTGTTACGGTGAACTCGTGTTTTAGCTATAAGGCTCTAGAATCTAATGGTGGAACCAAATCCTGTGGATTAAAGCTGCTGGGATTCATACAGGCAATAATACTAAAAAGTGGACAACAGTGTAAATGGGAGAACCGTTTCGCTGGAAAATTTGCTTAAGTTTAGGACTCATTTAAATGCATTTGTTAGTAAAGAAAAACAAACTAGACTATTTCCACGATGATGCTAACTCCACGTAAGAATAAAGCTACTCAATATCTTGTCCTATTTAGGTAACCTCCACGGTGCTCACTGAAAGTTGAATTGCGTGTTACCAAAAGCCGACGTTATTTTTCATTTTGTTCTCATTGTGCATCTCCATGGTTTCGTTTTTTAATGCGGAATTTCCTTTGTTACGTTCTAACCGGAATATCCACTCAACTGAACTTTCAAGTTTACTTAAGGAAACACTTTGTGTCTATTGGTGTGGCACTCAAGGATGTTAAGTTTAGCTTGGTATTTTCGTTGCCACAGATAAAGTTATTCTGCCCAAGAACTAAAATATTCGTTTATTCTCAGACTAAGACCATGATCCTACAATCATTTGAATGTTTCAAACTTAACCAGTCTGCGATGCAATTCAGTGCAATTATTTGACATAAACCGGTAAAGAAACGTAGGTGGCACCGGTAGGACTTGCGCCAGTGGCCATATGTGTTGGAACGCAAACAGAATCCTCTAAAATGGTTGAACAACGATTTGTTTACGCCTGAGGCTTATCGCCTTCTGTTTTGCATGCATTCACCAGACACGCGACCTGTGGGGTGGAGCATATTACGGTCATTTGAGGGGTCCTTTGGGGAACAGCAACAAGGCGGTGACACCACAGAGGAGGCTTATGTGCCCATCATCATGCTCAGTGAAGAGGCTGAGGACGAGGTGGAGGGAGGAGACACCACACTCGGTGTTGAATCGCATTTAGAAGTGGGTGCCGGAGACGCTCTCAGTCGCCTCGCCTGGTCCCCGCTTAGTTGCCGCTCCGAGGATGTGAGTTCATACCACCGCTATCACTCGCATATTTGAGTTGTCGCTTAGTTATTTGCTGTCATTCGATGGCGATTAGGTTCTGTTGTAAATTTGTTCGTTTCCCAGCACCGAGGAGTGCTTAGCCTCGCCGATCAGGCATCAAGCCGCGCTCAGAAGCCGGTGTTAAGTCAGTTTCTGAGTGACTTCTTGCAAAAGTAGTCTCTTTCTTGGGAAGATAATATAGGCGGTTATTGACTTCAGCAGGAACTTTACCAATCTTTTTACCGTCTGGAGGGAGTTTAGGGGTCTTATAACGCCACAGTTGAAAAGTGCCACTAACTTTTTAGTCTTCTGTGGAACCTTTTTTGATTAAATAAGGATTTATGTGATCCTGCTCGAAAACCAGAGAGTGGAATTGGATTTGAACGGGTCTTGTAAACAACGATCTTGTGCACAGCCTAGTCCACCTTAGAGTTGATACAAACACTGTAAACCTAAAAATGTTAGCTATGAGATGATTTTGGACAAAATTCAAGTCCGGCTGTCTTAACTAGTGAATGATGTGAAGAGGAAAAAGGTGAAGCAGAACAGCTGGATGATGCCGAGTCTTGTTTCAACTTTGGTTCATTTGCCTTAAGTTGGCCAGTCTGGCCGCTGCACTGCGACTGTCACCGGCAGACTCGGAGAAGCTTTCGAAAGTGTTGCGTGATGGCTCTGAGGTGGCAAGTTGGTTGTCGAGTCTCGAGACGTCTCTCTACGTGCCTACCAAAGCCTCTGATATCTTATCCTCCTCCGACCTGCTCTGCCGCCTCCGTCCTGAGCTTAGTCGGGTAGAGTTGGACAAGCACCTCAGCGAACTCCAGGTGAGTGCTTGATCTAATAATGTATGCAATGGCGTTTTCACCCCTTCTTTCCCCCATCACTCTCTGAACGCAAAGTATCTTTGTCTTCGGAACTGGCTTTGTAGTCATCTACCTTTAACTAAAAAACGATGATCGAAACCTGATACAAGGTCGTAGGGTGTCAGGTTTAGCGAATGCGTGGAACTTTTTAAGGGTTTTATAAAGATGGAAAGAGATTTTCTGAAGGTTTCCAAACTTTACTTGACTCTTTAAAGCAAATTTATCGCATTGATTATAGACTACTAGGCATCAAAAGCATGGGTCTGTGGGCTAGTGGTTATGGTCATCTATCAGACACCCATCTGCCACATAGTTAATTGAACTTAGAACTGTTACAAGTCCGTCTCCTCAAATTTTATCTGTTTTAACGCTACGCTTTCGGATATCTTCATTAAGTTGTTGTAGTGATAGTGGACTGTATCCGTTACACCAGCATAATTATAGACGGCTCTAAAAAAAGTCTTATTCCCACATTTGGCACACGCAGAGATACGCTTTTACTCTCACCACGCCCTTATACCCACGCCACGTTCCCTCTATGCTTTTTACGGTAATCTTTACTTAGAAGTGACATCTCGTTGCCAAGTCGTAAATGCAACTGCTTTTTTTCATGGAGAAACAGGCATATGGCATAACCAACCATCGTGCACCCCACTTTCGCTGTTTCCAAAGCAATATGAAGTTGTTTGAGGAAATAATCTCATGCTGCCATCTTAGTGTGGAGCGTGCAACTGCTCATTCGTCGTTACTTCCATATCATTTTCTACTAACAGGTGGATTTCCTCACTTATTTGCTGGTTTTAAAAACCACTGTGTCGCAGTACCCGAGACCTCAATGAAGGCGTTATAGGATGGAGGAGCCTGAATAAAACAATATTGTGAATGTAGGAAGTAGTGAATTGTTAATAGAAATGGTATTACCGAAAGCTGGGGAGACCGGGTCCGCGTAGCTAGATGTACGACTAGGGCAGATATTCTTCTGTCAACACGTTGCATTCAGTGGAGTTTGGCTCACAATGCTGGTAGGTTATGCGAATACTTTCCCAAGAGTCTCAGGGTAAGCACCGACTTTCCCGTTGGTGGATGCATTGTGAATTTCCTCGTCACGACGGATGGTAAATTCGTGTACCACCATCATCAACGTCAGTGACTAACCTTTGTGATTGGCTGCCACGTTTAATGGACTAAATCCAGTCATCCACGGTACAAAAAATTTCCCAAAAGGTGGACAAAGACGGTGACAGGGCTGGTTGAGTTTTAGGTTTAAGAAAGTTAGTGGACCTGCATTAAAAACATTAACCTTAATGTATTACCAGATCTAATGTTTTCAAGATAGGTTCCAAAGTAATCGTTAGAAATGTGGATTGCACAGTTCGGGCACTCGAAATAAACTTAACGCCTTTTTGTGTCACTTTTGATTTGTTAGACATGCAGACAGGCGAGCATATCGCGGATGTGTGTGGGTACCTTTCTTAAAGAGAAGGCTACGTGAATTTGAAATTCTGGTGAATTGACAGCACATAAATAATCCATGTTTATCTACACGAGTCACCTGGGTAACGAAAAGTACTGCGAACATCACAGTACCAGTTTACTATTTACTTTGCTTCAGTATTACTCCGGACGGTTGGAACGCTGGCATCAGGAGGTGAACACGTTGATTAAGAGGCACAAGGCACGTCTCCTAAAACTCGAACCCCAGGCCAATAAACTGCTGGCATCCGACCACGGCTTCCTCACCCTCTTTCCGAGCTGGCTTGACATGATCGCTTCCAGGTTCGTTATCATGTCCTTTCATGCCTATGTTGTATTTACAAGTAATATTAATTTCTTTACCCCTCCCCTTTCGCAGGCGTACGGAGGTAGAACGAGAGTTACAGTCGCAGGTGCATCTGCTAGACTACATAAATTGTGTCACCTCTGATACCAAGAAAAAGCTACAGGAGATTGAAAATCAGGCTGAGCCGGCTATATCTGAAGCCCAGTGCGTTGTGAAACAATTGGGAGGCTCAAACACCCCATCAATTGGTGTCTTCACTGACTGTTACCAATCAAGTAGATCGTATTTTCGAAGAGGCGCGCCGAATATCCCTGCACTGACCGAAAGACTCCAGGTAGTTTTTCCCCTAATCTGTTTATCACTTTTATGACTGCTTGAAGCAGACCTGGCAAATCCGACAAACAAGTCATCTCGCTGTCGCGCCGGTTCTTTCAGGTACATTTGAAAGCGTAGGCGTAGCAATAAAGGTTTGCTTAATGCCAAATCACGTGCTACTTAGAACACATTTTTGGTGACTTCGCCTCGAGATCAATTAAAATGGCGACATCTACAAACGAATCATGTATTGTTGTGCTGATTTGAAAAATGACTATTCTAGATTGATTTACTCCTGGAGCAGAGGTAAGAGTGTGGAGACAATACGGCAAGTTTTTTTCAGCGCCTCTTATTCTAGGAGACATTGAAATACGAAATTAATTAGGAAACTGGTAACATGGGTGATGCAGACATCGTGGATACTGGCAAGGCTCGCATAGTAATGACTGCAAAACAGGTGTTTCGCCATTGTATCGCAATTTTGGTCAACCGCAATCGTCATGCTAGGAAAGAGGTATTAGTAGCTTGCGCTGTCATGTGTTTAATCAAATTGCTGTCTGCAGGATCTGCTGGAGCGTGCTTCCGAGTTGGATCCCTGTAGCAGCCTCCTCCGTCAACCGTCGATTGAGGCGCTTTCCGACAATCAGATCCTTCGAGCTCGTCTGAGATCCTCGTTGGCTAGCCTACACAATCTCTCCTCTCTATCTCCCTCCATCTGCTTTGCACCACAACACCAACAAACTAGCAATCGTCGCACCAATGTTTCGCCCCCTCGACACTCTTCACTGAGGTGGGACCCACGGAAGGTTCGCTACGTGGCGTTACTCTTCACTATCGTGTCACTTTTCTGCTACACACTTCTCCAGCTCGGTTGGTACAGCACCGAAGAGGCAAAACACTGGTGCAACCGCGACTGCTTTGTCTGCTTTGCCTCGGTGTGGTCGCGCTCCCTTTGCATTACTATCCCTCCCCTCTCCTACTCAACCGTCTCTTCCTCTCCCTGCTGCTTTTACCCACCTCCAACGTAATGCGTGTTCGCTCGTACTCCCAGATGTTTATCCTCCCTACTGTATGTTCACCTTTGCTATATTCCACGGATACATTTTGTCTGATTCATCGCTTGTACGCTCATTGGGTTTAAATGGGAATAAGCACGAAATGAGCGGTGGACCTTTATTAAAGTTGACAACGACGCAACATTATATCCAAAGTCCCGAGATTGGAGATCAACCGGGCAAGAAATGCACTTTACGCACGATGAAGGCAGGAGAAGAAAGCGGCCAGAGTGCGCCTAGGTCTCCATGGCGGAGTCGCCGTCACCTGCCTCCCCTGGTCCGGTGCCATAAATCTTGACGCTGCGGTCAAGACTGCACGAGATGACTGATTTGGCGTTGGGACCGAATCGAACACCAGTGGCCGGAGAGGTGTGCGCTGTGAACGTCACCAGCTCATCCCACTGCTTGCAGAGGTAGACACGAACGTCGCTGCCAGCAACTGCAAGATAGCATCCCGACTGGTCGAACTCAAGGTCATTGATCTCGTAGACCGAATTTGCTCGCTCCAATTCCGGAGTCTAGAGAATAAAGAAGCGAAATCAGACACGAGTCGTGTAAGTTTGGGGAGAGAGAAGTGCAAAACCAACGAGAGTTCTAAAGTTCTTCAGTTTGCGCAGATCCCACAGCTTGATCTGGCCATCGGCACCGCCGGTGGCGAGATAGTAGCCGTTTTCAGAGAAGGAGACGGCGGTGAGTGGCTGGTTAGCACCCATGCCGTGGGTGAAGTTGGCTGCGTTACGACGTTCTCGAATGTCCCAAATTTTCACCTCACCGTCTACCGTTCCAGTAGCCAAAATCTGGCCGTCCGGGTGGAACTGGGCACAGGTCAAACCTGGCGGGGTGGGTGTAAAAGGCAAAGACAGTTAATCAGTCGGACAGAGGACTCACATACGCAACCTTGCAGCTTGCGCTTATTGTGGTCAGTGAGCAGGAGCACAGTTTCCACCGAATTTAAAGGTTAAAACTGCTCTGGGGTGTGCAGTTTATCTTAAAGAAAGGCCGATACATGATTTGCCGGATGCATAAAATCACGAGCCTTAACGCGCGAACGAACGTGCCAACCAATGTGCAGTCAGAAGTAAAGCTGAAATGCCACCTAGGCTGACTCACCGCGCATTTTTTTTTCAGTTATTTGATTTCATCTCGAAGCTAGGTGTTGCTGTATACACAAATTTTGGCTACACACATGGCGAATTGTAGAAAAAGTGATGACCAAAACGCTAGTATCTAAAGCCATGCAACTAGAAATTTGCGGAATCGGACTGGGATTTGGGTGGTAGTCTAAGAATCACCACTCGTCGCCGAACAGATACAGACCTTGAAGCGAGCCGCCTTTCTCCACAGTGACCCTGACGAGGACCTGTCCGCGCCGCAGATCGCTGAGAGCCCACTGACCGTCGGCGGAGGAGGAGAGGAGGTAGTCACCGATGGCGTGGAGTGAGAGACCGGTAACGGGACCGGCGTGAGCGCGGATTACGGAGGCGCATTGCGCCTGTTCCACCCCCCAGACCCGCACAGTGCAGTCCGGCGAGGCGGTGAAGGCCAGCTGCTCACTGTGGTGGTACACCACTCGCGTCACCTTCTTCGTATGTCCACGCAGAATTGACACCACCTTGGGATGAAAATACAGGATTGTCGATAAGAGACAATTCGAGACGGTAAGCTAAACAATAACAGGAAGTTGTGCCGTGTTAGCCAACTCTAGATTCATTAGTAGCTGGGCAAAGACTGAGTTAAGAAAACATGCGACCATTCGAAAATGAAAGATACACTGAAGGAAATCTTCAGTGTGGTGAAATATTTGCAAAATCAGCTAATCTTTAGATCGACAAGAAGCTTGCCATAAAAGGGAAACACTTGGCTTAGCACTTAGGAGACTAGTGGCCTTAATATGTCAAAGGTGAAAACAAGAGACTCGAAATGCCTACTTTTTAGTAAAATACTAGTAAACGTGTTGCTTTGGGATTATTTGAGGAATTCACAGGCTTGGAACGTTTGTTCGTATTCAAAAATCCGAATGCCTCCAGAACGACAATGACAGCACGAGTAACAGATGTGGCGCAAAAAATTGGACTTGGCTCAATTCGAGCGGAAGAGAAATATTCGCAAATCAGACAATTTGAGATTCCATAGTCCAAGAGGAAGTAATGCACAAATATACGCGTTCAAGTGGTCAAATGATTAGAGCGAAATTGGGCACAAGTGAGGAAAGCTTTCAAAAAAGCAGACACTTAAAACAACTTCAAGGTTTCGGATGATAAATTGACACTTTTTCGACAAAACAATTACCAACGTGACGCAGTAGGGTGACAAGAGATTCACATAGTTGAACCGACTTCTGCTCGTAATGTCTATGACAGATTAAATCAACGATCCTAAGCATCTGAGACAGTTCCCCAGTCACTCGATTCGAGGGAGCCGTTAATCCCCAAGAGAAATTAAACGGCGAGTCAAAAAGCTTGAAGTCAGAAGAAAAAACCGACATCGAACTATGAAACCAAGGCATTAAAATGATTGGATAGCTAGTCAACCTAATTGTAATGATCAACCTACCACCTTACCTCTTTTTTGAACCATTCTTTCATAAAATCCTGATTTAATTTCATTGCTGTGGTTCTAGAATCATGTCGACTTCAGAAACTGAGTTTAAGCATATTCCTAA